CTTTGGATCTGCACAAACACAATACAGGGATCAGAGCACAGATGCTGCACACTCAAAAGCATATTTGTACCTGTAACTTGCGCCGGAAGGGTAACAAGATGGGGCTTATATTGAAGCACGCAGTTTTTGTTTTCCTTGCCCGTATCGAGTAGCTACACAGGAGCTATGTATACTAAGTGGATTTTATAAAAAAAATTTTTTTTTTTTTTTCAATTTGTAACTTTTCATTACAAAGATCATTGGATTTACTGAAAATGTGTAGTATGAATAATCTTTTGAAAATTAGCCAAAAATATATGTATAAAAAAAAAAAAATCTATTTCACATTGTAATTTTTAAATTTATGTATAACGTGCGTAAGGAAATTTAATAAGTGCGTCTCATGTAGGAGCCAACCTTCAAAAATTTTACTCAGATTGGATTAAAGTATATTGAAAATACATAATGGAGGTAGCTGAGTGAGGAACGTTTGGAAACCTTCCCTGGCTCGTACACTTTTTCCAATCAACGCGTCAACTCTTTTTTACAAAAATTATTGCGTTTAATTCCTCTAAAATAACCATCAGTGCTTTAAAAACAACAATGACAATAACAAGAACAGCAGTGTGGAGTATAGCTGAGAAATGAAAATCAAAAAAGTATCAGCATCGAGACGCAATCGATATTTGATACATTATTATAATTTACTTCATCATCATAATCTCCTATCTCCTTTCTATTTGGTACTTCCTCTTCCAAGCCGCCACCAAAGAATTTCTCCTCTTTTCTCTTCTAGCACACATAGTCGGCGTTTTACTTTCAAAGACGATCTCTCACAGCGACTGACGCACGCACGAAACGGGACACGCTTCCCAGCATCAGGCATACTCGCCCTCCTTCCAAGATGCTTGTATGAATAGGTGTAAATATCCGTAGGTGCTTATGTATTTTTTACTCGTTTTTTTCATTATTTACTATCATTGTTATTATTATTATTTATTTATTATTTTTTTTTTTCAACGAAAGGATTTTTGTACTTTAATCTTGTATTCAGAGACGATGAGATTTAAATTCTTTTCAATAGTATGCGCTAATATGGAGCATAAAGTTTTACAGGTATTTATAAGCTCATTAGATAACTTAAAAATCATCTCAACGCCTCAACTGTAATTAGCAGCGATAGTGAAAGCAGTATCTAGACAATTGAAATTTTTTCGACACTGGGTAAGTACGTAAAGAAACGTCTAGCAGTGCAACAGCAGAACTGTCGTCCTTTTCGTTTTTTTACAATTAAAAATTAGCAGCTAGGTAACCAATATATTTTTTGTCGCTCTCGTGACTTTTTTAATAACACGATGAAATGCATTTTTAAAAATTAAAATTATAATTTTTTTATGTAGCTAAGTTGACTGGTCAGGAAATACGAAACATCCAAAACAAAGAACAGAAAAAGAGGTTCTTTCTCGCGTAAGATTTCTTTGGTGCAAAAATATAAGACCTATTATTAAAATTTTTAACAAATTTTGATAGGTAGAAATTACATTAATAAACTTTTCAACTGGATATTAATTTTTAACCAAAAAAGTTTCTTTCGATACAAGTTACCAACTTTACCATAGTAGTTAATAATGTCAATTGCAGTGAATACTATGTTTTCTGAGCAGCTATTTAAATCTTTCACTAAGTCAATGTTTTGCAAAGAGTGCGCGGCAAATACTTTAGTAAAGTCACAAGGTTACCTTTCAAGTATTTAAATTTAAAAGTAATTTTTTTTTCCTTATCGTCGTACAAAAATTATAAATTTTGGAAATTTCATTCTACCCATACATTAATATGTATGTATATTTCTACAAGCAATTAAATATTTTGATATTAAATGTGAATTCAAATTTTAAAACGTAGTGTTTGAATAATTTTTTTCGAGACCATGCCGAAAACGCTGGCAAATCCCTCGCTTATAAAAATGAGGGTAGTGGGGGCTTACGGTATTTTCAACACCTTCAGAATACTAAAGAGGATAAACAAATTTTTAATTATTTTGGAGGGGTTCACCTATGAAAAGCCATTGTTGTATACAAATATATTTAATTTAGATATGTGCATGTGTTAAAACCCCTCTGTACATGTGCATTACCCAACAACAAGTTTTAACAACATTGATATTGGTTACTCGTAATTTTTTGTAAAACTCCTTATTTTATCTACATGATGCTGTTCGAAAATTTTGTCACCTATTTTCTGATTATACCTTGAAATTTCTCATAGTTATAGTTATATGGCAAAACCAAATAAAGTTATAGTGTAGTTACAAATTAAAAAATTGACACAACTGAGGAAATTTTTACGAATAGGTATACATATATGTGTATATACATACAACTATAAAAACACAATACACATTCGCATTTTGCAATTCGCCTACCTATCGATAAGTAGGTTAAAGTTGCGCTCTACTGCATATATTTTGGTATTTTGATTGCTGCTCGCCATCAAGGACTCATGGAACGTTTAAAACCAGTTTTTCGTCGTTGCAGCGAATTTTCTTGACTATACTCGAAGTTCGCAATACGCAAAGTACCGGGCTCAGCAACAATGTAGAAGGGCATGTTGCGTAATGCAATTTCTCAACAACCAGCTCGGGTTTTTCGTTGTTTTTTTTTTTTTTTTTTTTTTTTTTTTTTTTTTTTTTTGTTTCAGCAACTGACCTATCCATGCTGCTGATACCTGCACGCGCGTTTTTACGAACATTATATTTACACGTATGTTAGCTATAGGTTTCATTGGGACTAAAATAAAAAGGAAAGTAACAATCTTTATGATATTTTCGATCAACAACCAAGTAATTGGTAATAGGATACCTACAGCTGAAACGCAGCGGGAACGTCGAAATTTCATGGCGTTGGGAAAGACGCTGTCGCCACCTTGGTAACCAAGAGGGATAAAAGTAAAAAAAAAGAAAAAAAAAAACGGTCCAGCGACCTTGTGCCAAAAATAAAAGCCTGATCGGTCTAGCCACCTGTGTTTGCGCAAGTCCCCCAAGCCTCTGTGCGTATGGTACAAGCACGCAAGCCACCGAGCGAGCAATATAATGTAACTCCAGGATCTCGCAAGCCCCGTTTGTACTCCATGGCGGTAGTATTTGGTACGATGGCGATAGATGGATACTTGAGACTTCAAGTCCCGTTATTAAAGCCATGACGCCGAGACATGTTCTTCACACTCATCAAAAGAATAAAAGCCGAGAGTAGAAAGAGAGATAACTGAAAATTACTTTCATTTCAAAAAAAGAGATGTGTGTTGGAGATACACTTTGAGTGGGAGAGGTTGAAAAGCTACTTGTCAAAATAAAGAAATAAAATGAATGGCCATTTGTATTGTGACCAAAGTAGAAAGTGCATTGATAAGTGCATTAATCGTCTAACTAAACAATTTTCAGCTATTTTACTACTGAGTTTTGAAAAAAAATAAAACTTTGCTTTACATCGTAATTCAACCAATTAATATTTTAGACAAGAACGCCGTAGGGGAAAAAATGCCCATAAACAGCCCATTATAAGGAATTAACTGCCTGTGATTCAATGAAAACAATTGAAAAGCCATTTTTGCCCCATTACCAAGAAAGACTGACATTATACAATGCATTAAACTCAAAACTTGTAGATATTTAAAAAAACGAAACTTTTGGTGAAGTAAATTTTTCTCTCCAATGATGTTCCAATATACGATAAAACAATCGATTTTAATCGTAAAAAAAATCGATTTACAGCAGCTAATATTTTTAGTTGAAGCCGAAAACAAAGTATAAATACAAATTATTAATTTTTAATATTATTTGTGTTGTTATTAAACTATGTGCTCTGCTTTAATATTTATTATTTTATGAATAGAAAAATAAATTTGCATGATCTCTATTAATAGGATTTCAATGCAAAATGGTATATATTTTTTAGATGTTTTTGAAAGAGTAATTTCAAAAACTAACCATTCAATTCTCGATTTATAGTATTTTCGCGTTTAAACTTAAGAGCAATAAGCAAGCATCAGGTGCCAATAACCCAACCCACTCGAGTGCACTTTTCTATATGTACACTAAACCAATTTCTTCACTTTTTCTCTCTTTCTTTCTTTTTGCAATTTCTACAATATACGTTGTACCTGCTCAGAAATTTCAAGAAATTTCAAAACGATAGTGTACACACGGGCGCGCGCTCGCAGTCGTAAGAGAGGGACTTGAATAAACGAGTGTAAAATACCGAGTGTCTTTGTGCAACTGCACTTGCTAGATGAGTTATTTATTGAAAAAACAGGACGGTGTATTATGCAGGTACAGGTAGTTGTAAATTTTTAACGCGGCTGTTGCATTGTACCTATATGTAAGCGCAAAAATGTGTTGAACATATAGCTTTCTATCGCTTTAAAATCATTAAAAAGTTTGCATCTAAAATTATTCAAATAAAGTTTTGGCGTGTATCCACACATTTGAGGTATGTACACGTAATTGGTAATAATTGAGATCAGTCGATACTTGAAATACATTTCAAACAATGTTCGAAAGATGGAGTATTAATTTTAGGAAATGTAAATTACTTATAAAAAAAAGCCTTCAATAAGTAACAAACTTATTCAAACGTTTAAATTACATATTTATGTTAAACACTTGAAGTTGATCTTTTTAATCGACAAAGCGAAAAAAAAAAATTGATGATATTAGCAAAATAAACAAAGATAATCTTTAGGAGAAAAAAATGTCACTGTTAATGGCACGATCTCGACAGTTGGACTTCCTTAGGCTTCGCGAGCGGAAGTTGGCTTTCTGATTTCGACGCGCCTTGCGCATCTCTTTCTCTTTCTCCTGGTTATAATAAATGCTGATCGTCGGTATACTTAGTATACGCAGCATCAGCAAAAGCCGTTTTCAGATTCTTGCCGGCTCGCAGCTCACTTTCCACTTAAATTATTTAGGTACCTCCGGCCACTGAAAGAGAAACAGAAGAAGCGAGGACGAGACACCCAACTCTTACCTTTTACGCAGAACACGAGCACTGGCTTAACCCGCTTCTGCTGTTTCCGATTCGTCGTTGAGGAACGATTTTTCAATTTTCCTCGAAATCGAGGAAAAACGTCCGAAGAGAACCGACTCCCATAGAGTTGCAGCGCTCGACACTTTTTTTAACACTATGCTTTTTATAATTATTATTATTTTTGTTGTTCTTGTTATTTGTGCTATTACATGTGCGAGCTTTAATTGGCCGAGATGAATCGTCTCTTGAATATTTCGTTTCGCAAGTGAAAAAAGGGGAAAAAAAAAAATGAATAAACAAGTAAAAAAAAGGAAAAAAAAAAAAAAAAAAGAAAAAGAAAAAATTCGTGAATCTCTCAAATTGGGTGGTATTCAATTAATGATACACCGAGAGTCACTGGCACTGACACTTACTTATACATAAATCTGCGCGACACTTGACGGACAAAGGGAAGAGGAACAGAGACAGGTAGGAGGAAAAGGATACGACAAGTGGAGCGCGGACTGATGCGATGCTGCGCGAACAGTGCGCCGGGGCCGCGCGAGAGCTTCGGTTTTAAGTGGCAAGTGAATGGGCCCCCGCCTCCTTAAGACCCGCGACCGAGCACTTTCCTGCCTGCATCCCACCGCGGCACTGTACAGGTACGCGTCCAACAATACATTCGTTTATCTGTATCGCGTACGTGTCTAATAGATGTGTGCCTATAGATATTGATTAGTAAGTTGGTCCCTCCTTCTCGAAATATGTCGAGCTTTTTTGCTGACCACGTGCTAAGAACAGAGGTGGGGAGGGGAGTCTTGGGTCCCGAAATTAGGTGATTGCTTGAATACCGATTGTTGACCGGAAACGCACGATTTTATATTGCATAGCCCGGTGGAGCTTACGATCTAGATGTTAAATTAAGCTAAATGTCTGGTGGTACAGAACTAGTTGTCGAAGGTAACATATAAAATACAACGATGGTAACCTCGTCGCAGAATAACAAATGAAGTGTAAAAATCAAATGTATACAAACAAATTGATAATAGCATATAAAATGAAAACTCCAAGTTTGGAGTGAACAATAAAAAAGACAAACGTGCGCGATCACCTTAAGCATAAAACACAAGGACCAGTGAAGAGCCGTTGATCACAGTAAACTGTATCAGGACGTAGTATCTGTATAGGGATGAAACATTTGGTGGACAAACGATATAGGTATAATTTATTGACAGGAGTCTATAGCCGATATCAAGTAAGGGCCGCTGCAGAGAGAGAGAGGCAGTGAGATGGACAATTGATCAAACAATCAAGTTTTAAACGGAGAAAAATTGCGAGCAACTTAACGGATGAGTAAACTATGATTGATCACTTTCCTTTCGAATGCGAAAAAAAACTACAGTTGCATTACATGTATATGAAACATAGTCCCTCTCGACTGAAGGGCCGACGACATTATCTTGGCAATCCTTAAAAAATTGATCCGAATATAACTACTAACGAAGACTCAGAGGTGGAAAGATTTAGGGAAGCGTCATACGTGCGTCATCGGGCTTCGATGTACAGGGCACTCGTAGAAACGTCACTTTGCAAATAAGACTCGTAAGTGCAGTTGAGGTAATACAGTTGGTTCCAGCCCATGCGAAAAAGTCCTAGCGCAATTATTCACGATGACTTTTTCGTTTTGGTTAAGAGGAGTACCTCCATCACGCGTAACCATACACACGTACAGATGACGTATTTGATCGTGATAGAAAAAGTTCGGTCATTGATGATTATGCAACCCGTGAGTGGCAACATGTCACATCTAATGGCTTTGAGAGTCATTATTCTTAGTACTCCGTTGGGCGATTCGGTAGACCGTTGATCGGAAAAATTTCGCCAGGGCAGCACTCGAACTCTTCGCTGGACTTTTCTTCGTCACAGTGAATTAAGAACGCGTTGGCTCGGACGACGGCTACGATGGCACACTATGAAGATTCGTGCACTCGTCTACGCGTACAACACTTTGTTCTTGTCTCGCGCCAGTTTGCAAGTCACACTCTGAATTTCTTCCGTGACTATAACCCGAACTTATGACCTCCTTGTTTTCAAAATTAAAAAAAAAACGTCGAAAAAAGCTGGCTAAGTGAATTTTATCCTTGAGAGATTAACATTTGATGATTGAGGCCAACTTTTTACAAAGAAAAAAAATAGAATAAATACAAAGTATTTTTAACATCGGTTCAAAGTTATGAAAATCGATTTATTGTAATTTAGCAACTCCATGCAAAACCATTATAATTATATAGGTAATTTTTACACGTTAGTGGAAAATCCAACCATTTGTTATTTGCATAAGTTGTGCCATTTATATTTTATCATCTTCCTTTGTTATTTGTATAAGAGCAAAAAAAAAAAAAGATTAAATTATAAGAAAATCTTATCAGTTTTCACTCTATTCCTATTCATATCACACTTTGCAGACTCGAGTGCCGAGACTCAGCAGTACTACACTACACTGTCCACTCACGTAATCTACTGAAAGCTGTCTAACAAATATGGGGAAGAAGAAATTAATGACCCATGGGAAATGGTTTACTTTGACAGGTACTTATCTTACTCATCCAAACTTTGCCGCAGTCGTAAGTGCTCCTGCTTGGCTTGAAGGATCGGCCAAAGGTACATAAAAATAATATTGTTTTATTACTGTTATTATAATTATTATTTTTTTTACTAGTAATATTACTACAACTGTGCAATGTAAGCTTATTTTTTCATCTACATGATTTTATTTGATTTACAATTCATCACATTATAAATGTTATGATTGTCCGCAGAATATTTTGCATACGGTAATGTGTGGGGCAGAAAAAAAACAGTGCCACTAATCATAATCCTTGCAAAGCTACGAAGTTTCTCCCGCTCATTCGAATTTTGTTGACGTCATTTTAATTATACAAACTTCTTGGAACCAAAAAAGTTCGTGCTTATTTTTTTGCGAAGGATTCAACGGCTTGGAAAAAAAACTGTTGAGAAAAAAGAAAAAAATGAGATGTATTCAATTGGTGTCGTGACCAACTATTATCTTGATGAAAGAAGTAAACTTGTAAAAATGTGTGGTTATTTAACACTTTATTACGAGCAAAAAATTTTCCTGGACAGTAAATTACAACGACTGATGTGAAAGAAATAAATTTTTCAAACGCAGAATCTCTTTTTTTAAACCATTCAATGTCGTCGATTTGATTGCTTGCTAATTGCTTGACATTTTGTCAAGATAAATTTTAAGATGTAAATGTAATGTCATATCTTTAAAGATATTATATTTAGAGCTTTATACATCGTTTACATTTGGCGTTGAACTGAAACTTTTACGCATCTATAACAACTTTTTCGGACCTATTTATTAAAAAAAAAAAAAAAAAAAAACAACGTTTAAGAGATGTTTGTACTAAAAAAATGGTTAGATTGAAAGTATGATATTGAGAGTACCGGAAGTAAAATGTCTACCATGTAAATAAAACAGACAAAAACTGCTCGGTATGCACGCAGATAATACAAATAAGTTACATGATCTAATGAGTAGTACCGCAATAGTATCAACAAAAAAAAAAAAAATAAATAAATAACAATTAATAATAAAAATAATAACTATCCTAAAAAAATTTTTTTTAGAGAATACTGATGAAGTATCAATACAAAGTGAATGACTATTCTTAAATTATATTAAGGATCACTATTTAGAAGACATAAAATATTGGAATGAAAACGTGATTTTCGTTAGCGGCGTTTCCGAATAGGTATTTAAAAACCAAGTTATCACTTATTACATCGTAGAGCAAGAACAAGCAAAATTGAATTTTAAAAATAATCCATACGTTAATCTTCAATTGTCGATCGTGTGTAGTTTCTTTAATCTCTAGTGTATACGTTTTTTATTTACTCCTTAAAAATTCGGGATAAGCTGAAAATAGGTGAAGTGAGGCTCGTGTTTGAATTATTAGACTTGAACTAGAATTTAAAACATGAGAAGAGAAATGTATAAGGATGGAGGACTAGCAGCTGTCTCAACGATGATCGTGGCCATAGTTTGAAAAATGGAAGACCCTGGAACCCGACAACCAGAAAAGCTTGCGTGTGTCGAGGAAAAAAGTAGCTTTCACATCGCCCCTTCTACACTCAGTATTGGTGGTGAAATTGGATCTCGAAATCCAGTCAAATGTCTAATGGAGTAAAGTTTTTAAGAACAAAATTCGAAATTTAATACAATTACATTCAATCAAGTATATTAATTATATGATTCATTCATTTACGCGTGAGCAAAGTATTTTTTAATAAACAAATGCACACTACTGTATACCACTCTTTTCCATAAAAATTAACAAAGAACATTCAAAAGGTATAAATTGATGTTGTCAATTGTCATTCAGTTGCATACCGATGACGTCACTTAAAAATAATTATTGTAAATTTTCTGATTGAACGTTTATGGGGATCAAGAGTTGTAGTCGTCAAAATTGTTTAGGTACAATAAATAATCTCTGGTACATAATAATAATCAACGATCAATGTAGCGATACTCGCTCATATAATTTGTACATTCACGGGCCCGCGCGGTGCAGCATAACATCAGAGTCACACTGATTTTTGAGACCAACCAAGGTTTAATGTAAAACTCAGCACTTTAAGAGTTGAGAAATTTTTGTTTCGCCACGCGATTGACAAACCGCTCGGCCGGTCTCGGGAAAATACGGATTCCAAAGTGCCAGAATTTCTCTCGTTCTTTCGCGCTGAGCACACGCTCGGGCGGTCTCTCGAACGCATGTGCCATACCTGCCGTGGCTATCATTTTCTCTAGGCCACCGAGTGCCGAGTCTCGTGCATTCGTTTTTACGACTCGTTGACCATCGTTGATTTTGCAATAAACAGACGGATTCAGTAAATATTGCCGGGACAGGAGCCACGAGGAAAAAGAGGAGGCTGTGCACGTGTGGTTAAACATAAACGCGTGCGTTCGTTTTTCATTAGGCGCCAGGATAGCTTAAAGGCTTGCACGTACTTATACGTGTGCACATGTCATTATTGCCGCATGGGATCGCAAGGGAATGATAATTTCTTTTTTTTTTTCCATCCACAATTTAGCTGTTGGTAATGATTCTCTTTTTTCCCGACACAACCTTGCTCACTCATGGATTTGCCAATTTGCTTTCAAGCAACAACTTGATGTAGTAATAAAAATTTTTTCAAGGGCCTGAACTACTCTTTAAACGGGAAATTGTTTTTACGAATCAAACAAATGACGATCGGTGCGTACGCTAAATAACATGATTTTATTGTATTTTATTTTTGATGGCTGAATTATGTGGCTATATATGTATATGCTGGCGCGCACATGCATCATTTTATGTATATGTGCACGTGTGTACGAATGTTTTTGTTCACGTGTATAGGGTATCACGTAGTTTTTATCCCGATTTGTTTCGATTTAAAATTTTGTTACTTACGCAACCTTTCCCGATAGCCTGGACTATAAAAAAAATCTTCGTCAGAAGCAGCCGTTTTTTTTTTATAAAATGTATATTTAAGTGAAAAATTATTTACAAACGATGTACTCATCTGTAGTGCCGAAATGTAACGGGTTACCGTAAAATTATTAAAACTCACTTGCAAGCGCTGGCACTTTGTGAGCCCAACAACTTGTACCCTATTAATTAGTCGAGTGTGTGGTAAAGCTCAACCGGTTACATGAATCGTGAGCCAATAGGTGTAGCAGCAGTATAGTGCATTACCGGTAGTTGCAACAGTAGGTGTACATATTACAACAGTAACTTGTATTGTTTCTTCTGACTATGAGAATCAACTCTCTAACAAAAATTATTTGTCTGAGAAGATTTGGGTGACAAACATCAAAAGCCACGGGTGCGTCAGAATTTATCATAACTCCTACTTAGCACCCATTCATCCAACCCGATTTACCTCACAATAAATACTTTAGCGTTCGAATGAATTCCTGCTTGCATGTGAGTAAATGGATCCACTCAGCAGGAGAAAAAGACGCAAAGAAAGTAACACGTTGATTAAACATGTGTGTGAGAACGAAAAAGAACGTCGTAGCCCAATGTATACATCCATACACTCGACCGTGATCTAGTTTGCGTTGACTCTCATACTACCCGCGGGTGTCCTTCACAGAGAAAGTATTACGCAAGCGTGCAAAGTGCCCAATGTATGCGAAAAATATACATGCATGCCAGCGATACAATAAATGTAAGTTATTATGGTTAGTTATTGGAATGAGATTCCCCGTCGATTTCGAAACATATTGATAAATGTTTATTCCGTGTGCATAAATTTGAAAATGTACGAGTAGTTTGCATATACGCGAGAACAGGCTATTATTTTAGAAGGAGATTAAATTTATTTAAAAAAAAAAAAAATGGTAATCATCAGTTTTATGAATTAATAATCCGTTGTTAATTTAAATACCTAGCCCTTCATTTTCATTTCTGGACACATTACCTACAAGAGCCCGGGCTCGTCAAATGGCGTAACGCTTATCGCGGTCAAGAATCTAAGAAAAAAGTGAAGAAAAACGCTACCTCCGGCTTTTGCGGTTTAATGCTTACCTTGCCGTGGAAACAATCATTAGTAGACGTTATCAACGCGGTCAGCCAGGGACGTTTAAACTTGCAGAATTATAATTGAACGAAAATGTTCATCTGTTCGATTTAGTCGGGGCGTATTTGGAAATGGAAATGATTTTTTTTTTTTTTTTTTTTAATTTCATTCACGCAAGCAAGATTACATTAGAACTTAAAATTTCTCTTAATGGGATCTAAAAATCCGAAATTTTAATTTTACATTCTTATTCAACTATTATGACTTCCTTTTTTGTTTCCAATTCCTTACATTTGTTTTTCCATGCAACGAGGGTTGACAAGAAATCTTCAAAAAGTTACAAATAGTTTTTAATTGTTGACGGATGAATGATCCGTAAAGTTTCAGTGGCATGAAAAATAAAAGAAGAAATCCATTTCTCTCAGGGACACTAAAATGTAACACCCATAGTTTAATTATAACTCACATCCTTTCTGTTTTGCGTCACTTTCAATAAAGACAGTAAAATATTTAACGTGGACCTTCGCTCGAATCCTAACTACATCTGATTCTCCTGATGAATCGGTTTCTCTCATTTTGAAAACTCGATGAAGATGTTAGTTTTTTCCATCGAATTGTACGAAAATATTAATTTTATCAATCTACTTATTTTTATTATGAGCATAGCTCGCTTGAAATATTACCGAATATATTCATAAGTCAAACAAACGAATGCGACAATCATCGAAAATGAAAGCACGTCATGTTATTTTGTTTTGTTAACGGCATCACTTTATTGCGTGTTTTAAAAAAGTTTTTTTCTTCGTTTTATTTTCATCCCAGTATAATGTGCTCGTTTAAGAATCAACGAACTAATTGAATTGCAAAAGTTGGCTGAACGCACTTATGCTGTCGTCACTGTGCACCGATCAATTCGAGGCTTAATTGTCACCGAACGTAGTTATTATCAATTTTTTCCCATTTTTATTTTGCGTGGACAAACATCAGTTTGACCTCAAAGGTGAACTTTTTCAAGCTTATAAGCGGAGAAAACAGTAGAAGTACAATGAAAAAGACGTACGCTAAAGTATAATCAAAGATTCGAGAAAATTTTTTTCTCAAACGTTTCGTCCAGCCCTGAAATAATTCACTACTATATGTGTACTTACGCCAGGGTCTGCGGAGGTTCAAGTAGCGGTATGAATGAGTCTAAAACTTTCAAGGTGGGCGTTTAAAGGTAGTTTTTTTACAGACAAGTAACCCATCGACATACAGAGCATTTTTATGGTACACAATTCCGTATACGTGCTCATCATATACTACTGCTTCTGCTACTTGGGTTACAGCTATGCTAGTTGAATTTTCTTATACATTACCATGAATTCATGTAAAAGTAAAGCAACCAAAAATAAAGCAAATATTACTGAAATTGACAAGTCGCCTCTCATGCGTCCAATAACCATAAATAAATAGTTATAAATACAACCATGGCCAGTATATAATATACACTTAAAAATGGCACTCGACGATGGAAATGATTTAGAAGGGGAGCCAATGATACCCATATCGGATGAATAACGATTATTATTTAAAATACGGATAACAAAGTTGTTTGGAGGGATTCACCTATCGAGTAATATATATGTACATATGACATAAAATTCGAGTCATTGAATCCCCTCTCCAGACTTACCCTTGGGGATATTGTCTTTTAGAGCGTGGACTGGACTGACCGGGCCCCACTTCTGCACGTATGTGAGCAAACGTGGAGTGTATACCATCACTGAGTTGAGCGCGCGGTGGAAAGAAAGGAGCGCGCGAACTGCCAAGAAAGCCTACTCGATGCTGGTCCGCGTTCTGGGGCCCCAGTAGTTATCGGGAGGCAGCCGACAGTGAGACGCGCGCCACCGGCAAGTACACTGTAATCCTTCTTCCTCTTTCGACTCATTCTTGTTTTTTTTGCATCAAGTGCTTCTTCACCTTTATTTTCGAGGAGCGCTGCATGGTTTTCTTCTCATTCATTTATCCATACGTATGGTCATAGGGGTCAAGTTTCATACTAACTGCAACTGTTGGATCTCTGCGTGTTACGGGTGTTTTCTACAACGCAGCCGTGGATTTTCACAGCTAGGGGAAATTTTCGATGAATTTCGACAATACTTTTTCGTTGTGAGGATTTAAGTTTAAATTCAAGGGGAGGGAAAATTTTACGCAAAACATTGATTTTAAATTTGAAAGAGTAAAAAAAAAGTGTTGCGCGCGTGCATGAAAGGTGTTAAGGGATCTTTGGGAAATTGGGAGAAAAACAAGTTATAGATATACTTAAACTTTATAAAAATGCCATCTCTCCCTCGTTCTCTCTGGCTAAAGCGCGTCTGACTGAGGCTCGCCTTTTCCACTTGTTCCAGTACTTTGGTCAAATCGTCACCATCAAACAACTAGTCCGTGACTTTTGTTCAAAGAAATACTCGGGAGCTTAGCTGGGAAGAAAAATAGCAAAGAGGTCGACAGTGAAAAAGACGGTGGGTGAGAAGACGAAACAGCCAGTTTTCCAGTTGTGGATGCCAACGGAACTGTCGCAACATCTTTTCAAGCTGTAAGGATTATTCGCGCAAACTTAAAATCGCATCGGTTAACAAATGCATTTTTGAACGATAATTAAAAAAAAAAAAAAATACATGATGAGACCGATGAAGACAACGACAAAGGCGATGGAGGTGATGGCTACGGCGACTACGATGACAGTCCTGTGACTATTTGTTTTTTCAAACTATAATAGTGAAGAAAGTTTTTCGAGTGCACGAGTGTAGATTGTCTCTTTGCCACATTGTTTCCCTCTACTTAATATTGTCTTCATTTTGTGATCGCCAAAGAAAAAGAAAAGTAAGTAAGAGGAGCCCGACTCCTTTTTGTGTCCTTAACATGAAAAGAAAAATCGATATCTTTCAACGTCTAAATACCTACATGATGCGCAGTAAATGCATCCAGATTCGATGTAGCAGTAGTTTATTGGCGTTCGATATTTAATTAATAATTCACAATATAGCAGGCAAATATTATGCACCATAAATTTTGGATTTGGTACTTTTGTGGATACTTATGAAAATAAATTATTAGTAAAAAAAATAACCATTCTCATAACGATTTATGAATGGTATTTTTACCAATTAATACGAATGCTTACAATGTGTTTTTAAAATAAAAGTTATGAAAGAAAATGTGAATGAGTATATAGAATGAAGGAGGGGGGGGGGAAGTAGAGCCGGTCTGTGATGTGTGGGAGTGTATGGTGACAATCTTGTCAGCGCTGAAAAATGAAAGTATAATTTTGCGATCGGCGTGCCTGTACGTGTGTCCGGACAGTCGGAAAGGGCCCGGCGAAAGTAGCGAGTGAGCACTACTGTGAAAAATACACGGAAAAAATGGAGAAAAACATTCGTTACGCTTGTGCGGTTATCGTAGCGTTGTTGCTGCTGCTGTTGTGCAACGCGAAAAAATGTCCATTGTATGACTAATATAATTTGAAATTTTACGGCGACTATTATTATTATAGGGAACATGCGTGTAGTATTGGATTCAAATTTATTGAAATTTAATCAACCTGACAGACTTTTGATACAATATCATTTCTGCTGATGACAATGAGCTAAACAAGTTATATAACATAACTATACTGGGTAGAAAATAATGAAAAATGATTTTAAAAAATGCCATTACCAACAATGAAACAAGGAACGTGGATAAAAAAATCTTCTTGTTGGAAAAAAAAAAAAAAAAAAAAAAAAAATCAGACGCTCAAGACGTATAGACTGAGACTGAATAAAAAAAATATTAAAATGCTAGGAAAAAATGGAAAAGCCCAGTTTCAGTTTTCTCCTTTTAATATACCCATAACAGTGCACGGACGCAAAGAGGAAAGGGGAAGGAGCGCTTTTGCGTGAATAACCAAAGCTGGTGTATCGTGAAGTGGATCGGTCGTCGCGTCGGTCTCCCGTGATATATATATCTGCAACAGCTCTCTCTCTCTCTCTCTCATTCTTTTGGGCAGGCTATATACGTAGAAATTATATTAGCGCTCAATTCTTACGGCTTCCGCGTCACGTTCTCTGATATACGTACTTACGTACACATGGTACATACAAATGCGTGGTGGTACAGACTCGCTAATTTAGATAAACTCGTAATAACCAACACTCATATTATTTTGCTAAAAAAGCGAGAGTACAAGATACGTGCGTACGGAAAGGGAAGTAAGATTTCATGTCAAGATTATTTAATACTTTTTATATTTTTCCAGGGAAGCTGAAGGGAAAAAATGCATAAAAAGAATATATCGTACTGTAGCTCCGACTGGGGAAGGAGTGCGAAGCGTCCGTCGTAACTCCACCCAAATTTTTTAGTATAATAATAATAATAATAATAATAATAATAATGATAGTGGTGATNAATAATAAAAAATAATAATTATAATAAGAGAAACGACAATACTGATCAGTAAGCTAAGATAAACGTCATAATTTAAATGTGGGGGATGGGTTTGAATTTCCATTGGGTAAAATCGAGTTTTTTGTGATTGAAAATTATTCCCCAGCTAAATGGCTGTTCTTTGTAGAGGTTTGTCTTTCATGAAAGAGTCGTACGTTGAGAGAGATAAAAGAGACGCTGTGTAAAAGGTAGAGGAAATAAAGAAAAACAGAAAAATTAAGGGGATATTAAAATAGAGATCTGACATATTGTTAAGGAGGGGTGCTAAAAAACAGAGATAAAAAAGAAATTGGTACATAAAAAAAAAAAAAAAAAAAAAAAAAAAAGATGGTAATCATTTTACAATAACTCGAAAGAAATAATAATATCCTGTGAGCTCTTGTCTATATTTTATTCATGATTGTTCGTTCAGTTACTCGACTGTGATGGCTCGTTCGAATGTATTTCAATGTTTTCCTGTGCTTTTCTATTATGTAATGGTAAATAAGGATAATTCGAACTCGGATACCATTACGTTTGCGAGAGATTAGATTGTTCTCGAAACTCTTTTCCTCATCTCTTTTTCCACTCGCTCGTATAAGACCAGCGTGCACTGTATTATGCTTTATTTGCATCAAACTCAATATCCGTGAAATGCCACGGAAATTATTCTCCGGTTATTTATTTAAGTCCTAATATTCTGGACTGGTGTCAAATTTTTTTTCATCAGTCGTTGCAAGTTTACGAGTCCCATCTGATGTGAGAATGTATTGTGACAGTGGCGAGATTATTATGTACGTGATTTCAAAAATAATATTATACGTATATGACTCCCAAAATTAAAAAAAATTTTTCCTAGATACACCCTAGAGAAAAAAAGCAATTCTATATTTAACATGAACTGACTTCCAAAAGTTGAAACATTTTGTTTTTATTAAAGATATTTTTTCTAAAGCACCGATTTTTAGTAAAAAATGTTCGAAGTAATAAAAAAATATTTCTGAAACTTTTAACTCGAGAACTATTAGGTATGGATCTCACGAAAAAATCACGAAGGTTAATTTTTACCCGAGTAGCCTGAACAATGTGGAAAAATTATATTATTTTAAAAATGACACAAAGAATTTTTTTTTCTTTCTTTAATTGCCTCAAAATATAGTTGCACATATAATATGCACTGTCCACTTGCACCGCTGATCCTGACAGACTTATTACTGTAAGTTGTATCTCCGTACAAAAAAGATAGCTAAGAAATCGTAGTATAGGTCGTGTTTGCACGTTTGCTATTCATATTCATCAACTTTTCACAGGGAAATTTCCAAACGGTTGAAAAAAAACTAATAGAAAGGGAACATGTTACAGATAAAAAAATGTTCTGATCTCTCTTAACAAAAATGCTCACGATATGTGCATTTAATCAGTTACAGGAGTTAGTCAGAAATGTGAAAATGATTGAAAAATATTGGCATCTATTTATTCAGTTGTTAGAACGGTTACGTTAAAACATGAGAGCCATTCACAATACAGATTTCGAGAAAATAAAACCTTTTAAATGACTTTTTCATTATATAGGAGAGGAAGCGAAAGAGAGAGAGAGAGAGAGAGAGAGAGAGAATTTAATTGAATTGAATTTATTGTTAAGGAACTAAGAGCAAAGCGCTCTTCATAGCTGGGCTCTTTACATTTAATCAGAGAGAGAGATAGAGAGAGAGAACTCACATACTAAATCTGGTGCTTTTCATTAAAAAAAAGTATTAGCTTTAAAGATAATTTTTCAAGGTTAACTTTCTGTTACATCGATAATTGCCGGTTGAAAAAGCCACTTCTTTTCTCTCCTGTTTTTCTTCTCTACGATTACATCTCCTATTGGATTGAAGTTATGCCACAGTCAGCTATAAGGTAAAAAAACAATTTTCTTTTGTGAACGAATCTGCATGCAGCAATAATTTTTTAGTCAAATATATAATTAGCACAACAGAGACGTACGAGGATCGTAGGATAATTCGGTGTCGGCTAATTCATAAAAACTTACATGCTTGTTTGGTGCGTATGTGAATATAATTCACTTTTTTTTCAAGAATAAATCGTTGCCGCAATAAATGTAAAACAACTCGTTGTTTTTGGCTCCATTCGCCTCAAGAGCCTTGGGTTGATTGCTTATACATTTTTTAACGCTTAGTTTACGGTGCTGGCAGAGGTGCGTCTAACGTGTTTTCAACCGAACGACAACGAAGTCAAACATATATGTATAATTATTGTCAAATTGACACTGGGCAAGTACACGTAGACACATGAGCGATTCGCGCAACTTATGCTGTCGGGTGGTTGCAAATCAGGACGAGAAAGTAAACATGCTATGAATCTTTCGTTGGAGCGCGAGAGAGTGCACAAGTAAAAAAAACCGCCTTGAAAATTCCAAATATCGAGTCACCCTGGGATTCTAGGGCCTTGATTATTTGTTGCGTGGCGACAGCTATTAGAGCAGTAATTTCGCGACGTGGACGCGCTCAAGTTTTTTCCGCAATTTTCGAGGAAATCTCGGCGTGATGGAATTTTTTTGCTTCCGCTTCAGTTCTGTTGGTGATTAAAATTTTTAATTCGAAGCTCCTGCGACATTCAAGATTAAAATTACAGTTAAAATCAATCAGGATTTTGATTAATTACATTTCTGCGTCACCATCACGTGGTAAGCATCGGGTTATTTTAAAAGTCCTCTGACACATTTTTTTTTCGAGACTCTTTCAAAATTCGGAATGTTCAAAAACGCCTATCGATAAATTCCCCCTCCCCTCCCATTACATTGAATTTAGTTACAAAAAAGACAACGATTATTTCTTCGCTAAAATAAAAAAAAATAAAAAAAATATAACACAACATAAAAAAATTGGAAAGAAGACGAACAAACAGGCAACGGGTAACGGTGCTCTTTACACAAGGCCTGTGCAACATGCAGTATACGATGAGCATATAGCCCTATTAACGGGAAAAGTCTCGTGGTGGTGGACTATATTTACCATCGTGGTAGAGAGGGTAGAGAGATGAGAAGAAGGTATCGCGATGGGGTTGATATTGGCGACAAAGAAAATGCATAAAAATTATTTCGACGTTTTACAGTTAGCAGTGGGGGAGGGAGGGGGGGAGGGCAATTTATCGATGGCATAAAAAAGCACGTCTACCGGTTCTCCTATAGCCTTATTTTTGAGACACGCATGATCCCTCCTCGGAGAAGACGATTCCCACCGACTGGGGCAACGTCCTACGTGTAACATCTATGATCTCCGGCAGCGTTATGTAGCCGTGGCGGAATGTATCATAACTGGAATCCAAAGGAGTAGCATGGCTTACTTGCAAACCGGTATCCGAGCGCGCGGGTCGTTCTTTCTCTTTTTCTGTCCCCATGAGGATAAGACCGAGCACGGGGAGGAGATCCAACAGACGGTTCAATGCATGACACACATTTCACGAAAGCAAAAGGAGGCTACCATCTACAAGCTTGTTCCGTTCCCATAACGCTTCTCTACCACTTCCTCCTCCTCCTCCTCCTCTCCTTTTTCTCCGTAATTGTTATAACATACATTATCATCGTCATCTTATCATCCTTCTCTCTATCCACATACATATACCTATACCAATGCTACGACAATTACATTTGTACAACTTCCTTCACCCTCGTTACATAATATATTTAAATCCCCCTCCCCACGATCAGAGAGCAAGAGAAAAAGAGGATGAGGGGGCGGGCATTTGGTGGTAAGCAAAACAATTTGGTAAAGTTTTGCTTATGATATCTTTGGAAAGAAAAAAAAAAAATTCAAAAATTTGTAATTATATCTTATGGCTCACAAATCGAGTGTATAGATCAGCATCCGGATCAATGATGATGATGATTATGATGATGAATAATTCATCATAGTTTATTTTAGTCATTTTTTGGGAAAGTAGGTATAGGTTGGGTCATTATTTTTTCATATTTATAGAGGTATGTGCTCACGCCTTACACGCTTAGCATCATTGAGGCTCAGAAAATTGCGAAATTCTAGCCTCCAGTCAACTTAGCAGCTATTCGAGTCGCTTAGCTGCCGTGAAGAATAATATGACATGGAAATTCTCAAAAGACTCGTAACTTCTCGCGATACGTGAACCCAAGTAGGGAAAAAATACAAGTGTTGTTGGAGAAAATTGGTTTTTATGTTCTTTCATACTTTCACTCATTTAAATACATTGAAAGTACGGGAAAAGAGGTTTTCCAGATTTTATATTAATTTACTTGTGAATCATCATTCACGAATAAAAGTCAAAAAATTTTCATATATACCTAAGCAGGTATCGACAATTAATTATTCATAGTTGAGGAAATGTTGTTTGAAAATTAACTATTTATCTACATTTTAATGTGTATCCTACATGTTACTCTGAACTTTATGTCTTGTTTGAATAACATGTAATTTCTAATACTTTCCTCACTTATTCTATGTAATCAATCTCCTATAAGATAGTTTTTGCAATTATTTTATTTATTCGACTGAAAAATTTTCCCACGTATTTTTCAAATAATTTTCATCATGAGTATTATTTCGTAGTTAACACTTTACTAGTAAATACATGTGTGCTTTTTTGAATAAATACATTCCGAGTAAGCCAATCGATTGATTACGTAAATATTAAGAAAACAAATTTTTTTAAATTTAATTTTAAGAGCGATACTTAAATGGTTCAATTACTTTCGAAAAATATTTTGTACTTTTAACTATGATTTATTTAACAGTAAAAAATTTACTTTGGTCGACAAAATACTCAAAAATAATTGGAAGTTTGACTCAAAATTTTAGGACACGATGGCTCATTTATATTTAACATAAAAGTTGGTGAGTTGGGGGTACCTGGATAAAATGTAGAGATACTTCAACCGATGATGAACATTTGTAAGTTAATGATGATGGTAAATCATGTTTAAACGAATTCTGGAAATTACCGGACTATGTATCCTTAATTTGATTGAATCTACGAGTAAAATTTGTCATATTACTCACAGCCATGAAATTTATTATATTACACATTTTGTGTATAATCTACTAAATTTGCATGAGCAAACACCTCTAATCGTTACTTAAAAAAAAAAAAAAAAAAAAATTCAAAGTGGCAATGGTAATGACGCTTAAAAACAAGTATTTGTTTGTAAAAAATAAGAAAAAAAAAAAAAAGAGCGCACCTCGACATGAGTATATGCATGGTGCGCATAACGTGAAGCGATAAGCCAACTCTCGAGTGTAATTGCACCGAATCAAACACCATGAAGTAATATAGCGAGTATGCCCGAGTTAAGCGTTTTCCGCAGCTAACTGGAGAGCTAGCTCCAGGTATATGTAAACGATACATTGTAAGCGTGTGCTAAATACCGTTAGGTGTGTTCGAAATACTGTAAAATCAACGATCTACAAGGAATAATAGAACGCACGAGGCTGTAAGTATAGCTATTTACATCTATTTTATGGCAATAAATATATTGTTGATGCATCTCGGGGATAGAAGTATATGTGTCGTTTGAAAATAAATTCTAGTGGCTATTTTTCTCATGTAGGTAAGCTCATAAACTCCGGTTGAATGAAATAAAAAAAAAAAATCTTCGTATAGAAGATGAAAATTTGATTCGCGCGTTTCAGCTAATATACCTGTATTACTATGATTTAACAATGACAAAAACACCGACTACAATTATTTTTACGATTTATATAACTGACAATCCGATCTCGCGATCTACGCGTAATGGGATGTAAAGAAAGAAGAAGAAAAAAAAATGAGAGAAAGACTCGATGTTGCACAGAAATAAGTACATACAATTGGAAATCACCAAGATTTTCATTTTTTATTTTTCAGACAAATACAACATGGATACCACTAGCGTGCGCACCAGCGACTTTAACAATAGCAACCACAACAGCAACTACACGTCCACCAACTATATATTCAAATTGTACAATCATGTGTTCTGGGAACTGTCAGGTATAAAATACGAGTGCATAACACAGTTATTATATAAGAGTTGGTCAATAAATTGAATTGTGTCTCATAACTTTGATACTTTTGATACTGGTACATTGAAACCATAAGACGATTGCCGGTGCCTGTATAAGGAAATCTACAAAAAATATTTATTTGTTTTTGTGTCCAATTTTTAAACAGTTTTTTTTTTTTTGGCACATTTTATACTCATAGTGTATATATAACAATCCGAATAAAGTAAGCCACATGTTAAGGGTGTACCTCAAAAATTTTTTTTAATAAATCGAAGACAAAAACGGGATATTTTTTGTGGGTTTCCTCATACATCCATATTTTTTATATGATTGGACATGTTTATAGTATATTCAAATAGTGATAAAGTTGTTCTTGAACTTTTTGGTTTAATTAAAATTTTGAAATGTTTCTTGTAGTTTCTGTAATGTAAAAGTCTTTTATGATGTTTTAGTACACGTTAACTAATGATGATTCACAAGAAAACAATTAATTAACTTGAAAAAAATCGAATGAGCTGAGAGCGATCGGAGGTCACCAGCTCCGTTCAATCGAGCCAAAATATGAATAGGTGCAGGTGTATGATAAATTTTGTAATAAAACTCGAAATTGCAGATCCTCGAACGAGGGACTGGTTCCTATTGTCATCACCTATTCCAGGAGCGGCGATACTCGCCTTTTATTTGTACTTTGTGCTGTCATGGGGACCACGACAAATGCAGCACCGCAAACCCTTCGAGCTCAAAAAAACTCTAGTCATCTACAACTTTTTTCAAGTCGCACTCAGTTGTTGGATATTTTGGGAAGGTCTTGACGCTGCCTGGCTGCGCGACTACAGCTGGAAATGCCAGCCTGTTGACTTTTCCGAAACACCACACGCGCTCAGGGTAAGCCTTTTTTGCAAATACCTGCGTATATACTCACAAGGTGTTGCTAAAAATTAAAAATTCCTCCCATTATCCAACACAAAGCCGTTACGCATTATTGTCATTTTCATTGTTAATGATATTATTATTACTATTATTATTACTATCTTTGTTTCATTCAAAAGTTATTTTTTTCATTTTTTAATATCGTCAAATATCTATCGTAAATATCTCTATTGATTAAAGGTATGTTATTCATTTATTTTGTTGATAGTATCATAAGTACCTTATAAACTTTTCCTATTGCAATGATGTTGATTTAACTTTTGATTTTTCAATAATGTAATGTTGTGTGTGAAACAGGTCGCGAGGGGAGTTTATATTTATTTTCTAGCCAAACTCACGGAACTGCTCGATACGGTCTTTTTTGTGCTTCGCAAAAAAGACAAGCAAATCACATTCCTGCATATGTACCACCACACTGTGATGCCGATGGTATCATGGGGCGCATCGAAATATTATCCTGGGGGACATGGCACCTTCATTGGTACTTTTAGTTTTTTCATTTTAATCTGATTTATTCGTATAAACATGATACAATGACTTCAACATTCTCACATTTTATTATAATACTACTCTGTTACATTTCAATTATAGAAAACAAGACAATTGACCATAGTAATACTTAACAGTAAAATTAAACGCTTTAAGGGGACTGAGATGAGAAAGAGTTTATGAAAATTAAAAATACATGTAATCGATTACAATAACTATAAATAGTTGTAAAGTAGTAAAAAAATTTACGAAATGTTTGTTGCTTAACTAAAATTTTTGTTCGTCTTTGTAATTCACAGGTGTCATAAATAGCTTTGTGCATATTATAATGTACACGTACTACATGCTGTCTGCAATTGGACCTCAATTTCAAAAGTACGTTTGGTGGAAAAAGTACATTACGGCTCTGCAAATGGTAACTATTTCATTTATTAAATATGTTTGTCTGTTATATTTTGCGTGCGTATGAGCATATATTATGCAATCAAGGAGTCATGATTTTTGGCAAATACTTAGAAAAAAAATGAATTATAGAATAAAAAAATTTAAAAAAAATTTACTGCTTGCTAAAATTGATATGCAATTAAAATAAGAAAATAAAATAACGTGGGATCTTATGCAAAACAATATTATTTCAGGGCCAGTTTTGCCTGACTTTTTTGCACAGCCTACAGTTGCTTTGGCAGAAGTGCGAGTATCCACGATGGTCTTTGATCATAATCCTCCCAAACGCCATATTTTTCTACCTTCTTTTTTCCGAGTTCTACAACAAGGCATACGTGGATACAAAGAAAAAGGCAAAAAAATTGAAAAAGAGTCATAAAGGAGAGGAAGAAGAGAAGGACTCCGATAACGATAACAATGACGACAAGAGCTGCCCAAAGCCGCATATGACGAGCAATGGCACCGCCTGTAACAAAAGCAATAGTCACGCGATAAACGGAAAAGTACATAATGAGAATTATGTGCCTAATGGTACGAAGTTGGTTACTAAAAACGGAAAATCAAAATTGTCTTGAAGCTCTCATTTTTACTAAATGTTCCAGTACTACCGTTTCTTTCACTATCTATGTATTGTTTAAATCCACTAATTGATTGATACGATTGCATGAGAGTAAACTGCAAGCAAATTCTAATAATGCTCTGTAAATAAAAAACGTGAATAACTGCATTCATACATACCGTGGATGCGCGTTGTATTGCATACAGAGAGGATCCGATGGGTTTTCTCGAAATTTCTATCTTAGATGGAAATCAAGAGCTTATAATTTTTTTTAACGTTATTTTATATGTAAGAATTATCAACGTCGTGCGAAGAAACGAGTACGCGAGTTAAGTTACTTTTCTTGTAATGAAACGTAAATGCCAGACATCTTGAATTTCAAACATTTTCGCATAGAAACCTTGTTGTTTAAATTTTATTTGGCTTACTCGACGTACTGTGATAAAGTTATTAGGGTTTTTATAACATGTAAATTTGAATCATATCTTAAATATCAAGTTTATTTTGAACAGCTTCAGCTAGAAATAAAAAGAGAAAGTGCATGTTTAGATTATTCATTAGTTTGTAAAGAATACCGAGCGTTAAGGGTGAGATGATTTTTGTAAAGTAAAAAGTAAATTAATAAAAATGATACGGATGTAACAAAACAACAACAAAAATTTTTTTTTTACAATTTTGTAAAATTTAAAGAGTTGGGTACTATTACGATGTCTTTATATGCTTTAACGGCAAAGAAAAACGAGTTTTAGTTACCGTGATAAAATTTCTTTCCGCAAGCTTTGAACACCACAATGATTATGGTATTTACTTAGGATATTAAAAATAAAGTCTTATAATGTCTTTTTCGATAAGTAATTATAATTTATGTATGCTCATGTACACCGATACCGGGCTCGCATGCAATTTCGAGGTTCCAAACAGCTTTGTCACGTCTCAATATATCCGTCTTGCTTTACGTAACGCAAGAAAGATTTTTTAGGTCTTACTATTGTCATGAAAGTAATATTTTATGAACGAAATTTATTATTAATATAATAATACATCATATGGATACTTGAATAAATACAAAGAGGATACGTGAATTCTCAGAGATGCTGTAAACAATGTTTTTCAGGCATTAACTTTGTTATAATTTGTACGTAGAATACATTGAGACTTCTCATACAACTGTAAGATTTATCCTTTTTATTTGTTAAAACCACGATTATCTTATTAAATTTTTATTTTTTAATGTTAAATCGTATAATATACATGTATGCGCATACATTTTCCGTGAAATGTGAATAATGTAAATTTTTAAAAAATCAATATTTTCTATTCGTAATGTAAGCTTGAAAATTTATTAGGCTACAATAGATTTGTTCTTTTCACTAACAAATTTTTATTGATCATAAAATTAAAAAAACAAATATACATATTTATACATCATAAAATATTTGTAGTGTATGTACTAGAGTTATCCACCATCAATTATGAGTTTTAATTTTCAGGAACCACAAAAAAATATAATACATGGAATGATAAACATTTTTGAAGCTTATAAAATAAAATTTGTGTAAAAAATGTATCTCAATTTGAAAAAATTATTATGGAAATTCTTCATAGCATTAAAGTTACTCGAAGGAACTAACTTTTAAACTATACGATTACAAAGACTAACCGATCAATCTACAATTATTTTTTTCACACTTAACAAATAACAATTAACATAACAATTACATTTTATGAAATAGTTGAATACAACGGGAGATAAAAATGTGGTATCATGAAATGTACAGTAAACAAAATTAGTGATCATTGCAATCGTGACTCCAAAAAAAGGTTTATTGTAGTTTCTTAGGCTTGGTGTAGGCTTTTCTGTAAAAATTGCTAAATAAATAAAGAAAAATGATGACGTGCGTCAAAAAGAAGTACGTAAGCGCTTTCGGCATACGGCAGTCTGTTGTAAGCGTGAACATGAGGTAAGTGAGCATTATGCCAAACTGGATCTAAAGAAGACAAAAATCGATTTTTAATTATTCAGAATTTTTGATTACGTGATCGTACACGCATGAATATAAACATATGCATATATATTTATGCGTATGCGTGTCATACCAGTTGTAACCAGGTCATGTATTTCTTCCACCAGAGGTACTTTCTATATTCGGGTCCAAGAGCGGCTATCATGTAATACGAGTACATGACTATGTGGACAAATGAATTGAGGAAACCTATGACGACGCCTTGCTCACCGGGCAAAAATTTCAGATAGCACCAAGAAAAGAAGGCTGTAATTGTGTGATGGTACACGTGCAAAAACGACACCTGATTAAATTTCTTGCGCAGGACAAAAAATACCTGTTAAAATAAAATTCGATGAAAAAAATCTTTCCAGAATAGTCATCGACATCATATCTCCTCAATTTTTCATACTTACGGTATCTAACAATTCAGTGATTTTCGCAAAAAAGTACCACCAGCCTGCAGCTGAAATCTAAGTATCGTATTAGCCATCATTATCAATTTAGTAAGTACGAATAAGATATATTCGGAATTAGATAATTTATTTATCAAATCCTGCAACTACAATCAATTTTAATCGTCACATGAACTCAGTATCTTTAACGGCAATGCATCAATTCAACGCAAACAACCCTAGGTAATTGTATAATTGACAAGTTCACACTAAATTCAGATTGTGTACAACAGCACTCATGAGATTGTGGAAAGTGAAAAAAAAAAAAAAAAAAATCTATAAAAATGATTAAAAAATGGCTTACCGAAGTATTGAGCTTGCTGTTTACCGGAAGTTTATTGTTACACGTGTCGGTGGTCAGAACGCCCAGAAGGTGAATGTTGAACACCTGTACGTAAAAGCGAAAAAAAATTATGATGAAGAAAAAAAAGCAGTTTTCGCACTTGGTGCGCATCCAACCAGGGCATGCACACGGAGTTCTGGTGCTTTTTCTGGTGAGATACACACCAGGTACGAAAACTGCTATTAGTTTTCGATGAATAGTTAGCCAATAGATACCTAAGCTATTTGGAGGAAATGGAATAAGGTAACTCTTAAAAAGTGTAGGAGAGAGGAATTACCTGTTTCGTCAGCCAAATGTTAAAGATTACTTGAAACGCGTTGTACAGTATTATAATGCTCTTGAGTTCGTAGGCTGATCTTTTTTCCATCATCTTTGGGCCGATCTTTAGGACAAAGCTCAAGTATGCGATGACTATGAGCAGCACCGGTGTTGGCGAGCCCATAAACAGCCAAGAGTCGATTTCTGGATCTATCAAGTACCAATTTATGCAACTTGGGTGTTTGATTCCTATACATTGATTTATTTATTTCTTTACGTATTGACTTGTAAGATACGTAGCCTTTTCGTTGATTATGCTTTTTCATCGAAGCAAACATTTTTCACAATAAACCCAATTGTTTATCGGTGAGCGCGAGTTGTTCATAAAACATATTGAGTATTTTCACCTCGGTATGATAAATAATTAGTTTTGCAATATTTTGACTTTATTTTCTCTCGTGTTGGCACTAAAGAATTTTCAAATCAACTTGATCGGAGGCAACGATGTAGTAAATATTATCTTACAGGTATAAACAGTTTTTCAAATAAATCAGAGATTTGGAAATAATGTGACATTAAGATGGAATTTTTCTTGATAAAACATGGATCGTGAGAACGGTGACTCGATTCGAAAATGAAAATGACAGATTTTCAATATTTGTATTATGCAAACACTGTTCTGAAATTTTTAAATTCTGTATTTGCTTTAAATTATTATTGAAACTGGGATGTGTTTTTAAATACATTCCTATACTTAGTAAAGAAGCAGTTATGTTGAGAGCTTCAAGAGAATAGTTAACATTTTACTGATGATGAAAATAATAATAATAATAATTTTGTTTGTAACAGTCGGTATTTGTAATGTAGCGTGCACAATATTTTCGCACAGTTGACTCGGAGAAATTATATCTTCAAGCATATGTTCGAATAAAAAAAAAGGATTGCACCCATTCTGTTCATGATTTCACGAAATCTCACGATACTCGCACTAATTATAAATTCTAAAACGATGATGTTGCATCGAGGTAAGCGGTCAAAACGTTATTGTCCGTTGTTAATTCGAGCTCGAGGCTAATAAATTTTAATGCAAGTAAACGCAATCGATGTGCAAACACCAGAAGCGATAAATATATCACGGCCCTCCTTGCGGAATGGCTATTCAAGCGGGTGAATAAGCCTTGCTTTTGGTTCCCAAGTAAATGATGAATGAAAAGAAGGGGCGAGAGAGGGGAGAGGGAAATTGAGGGTGAGACCGTTTTGCTACAGTGTTGGTCACGTTGTACCAATACTTAAATTGACTCTTTTTAGTGCAGTAATTTTGTAATTTCTGCGCCACAGTACATGTATTTGTCACTGGTGACGTTGGAAACGCATTATAAAATAAAATTATGTTTATATATTAGCAGGTGTTGCCAATTGATGCCTTGATCAAAAATGTCTCACCTTTGCTGGTTTCCAGAAACTCGTTGTAATTACTAAAGACGTGCTTTATTATACTCGCCATATTTTCTTCTCTTAAGTGTCGTTATTGTTTAGTAGTGATGTTTTTCATCAGCCAACAGGGACGTATTCCTATATAAAAAAAAAAAAAAAAAAAATGAGTACCAATTTTGTGAAACCCACGCTTGTAACGCGTGAGGTATTTTTCGGAGACTGGCGCACACACTTTCATGCATACATACAATATACACAGGGTGTTTTAAGAAACCAATTATTTAGACATATTATACTGCTAATTTAATCAAGCGATAAATAAAGAGAACGAAAATTCGGATTAACGATAGATCGTTGCCGATGATGGTTACATTTTTTTTAAACAAAACAAACGGAGTTAATCAGCATCAACACAAAATTGGCCAAATTTTATAATCGCTACGTGGAAATGTTTTTAAAAAATTTACCAAACATTAATAATTTTTTTACATATTTCTCAATTTATAAAAATAAAAATTCATCCCGCACGTGTATACATGTAACCGTAAAAATTATTTCGACGAGCGCATTGCTTGTTCACTGATAATAGGTTTCCGTTCTACTTTTGACCAATGTTTCTTTTTTTTTAATTGTAGTACATATGTTTTTTTTTACATAAATACCCGGTAGTATTACGACGATAATTGAAAAGAACGAATTACAACTTATTGCAAAAATATTTGGTTGCTGTTTTTACAGTACCACAATACGTAGAAATCTCTGTGGCGTTAAAAAAAGCCCTTCGTATAGTAAAAAAATCAATAGTTCTTCTTTTTTTGCTCTCACTGATAAATTAAAATAAATTTCAGTATTCCACTGTCCCAAGTTAAAGTCCGACAATCGTAGAATGCACATGCAAGTGTCGAGGCCTGGTATGTATTGAAAAACAGCAACGTTAGATGAAAAAAATGACACGTAAACTGTACGAACAGCGCGGTGATATTAATCGGCAATAATGTCTCAACAGCGTTGTCACACAGCAAGTGCAACGGTTACCTTTTATTGTGGTTTGGGTCTATTTTTTAATTATTTAAGTAACTTTTACCGTGGCAATACTTTAATATAAATTTGTCAGAAATATCATTATTAAGAATTCACCAAAATACCTGTAAATGTATGTATGAGCAGAAGCGGCCACCGATGGAATACAGTTAACGATAGAGCCGCAGCAGTCCTCGTTCGTATGAAGAGCAGCTGGTGCACTCCCGGTGACCGACGCGAGAGCGTATCAAAAACTAAATTTTTTTTTTAAAATACCCTAGCCACGCAGGAGCTCACTGCCACGAAAGTGTATGAGTGTAGATACTCTGACGTGTTTTCGGTCAAGCCATCGAGAAGAAGGAGGGCTTTCCATAATCCTTACTACCCATCCCCACCAGATTTTTTTTTTTTTTTTTTCATTTTGTGTGTACGTTGTCTTTTCAAAGCGAGCGCCACTCGTCGCTTCCGCGCGTTGCGTCAATATATGGGTTATTTTACAAAAACCCGTGTACTCTGTGTACAGAGCCACCGATAACAATAACGCATTATTTCATTATTTAACGCTAGAACTGTGAACAAATATTTTCAAGAAATTTTTTTAGATATTACGTGTGTTCGGTGAACTGGTGTGAGAAAATACAGGCTAAAATGTCATCATGGTGAGCATTCGCGTTAAAAAAAATTTTTTTAGCGGTATGTGGAGTCGGAATGTTATCAAGTTAAACCTTTTTTTCCGTTTAGTGGGCATCAAAAAATTTATTGATGGAGAGCTACTTTTCTCGTACTTGAGTAAAATCAAAAAGTATTTTTAAATTAATTAGTGACGCGACGTTTTAATCATGTTATAGTTTTCGAGACTCTCAAATTGCAGGCAGCGAATATCTTTGTCAGCTTTTGGATGATACTCGAATAGAACCGATCGATTCTTATTCTGATAATGTTGAGTGAATCGTCTTATTTTTTGCTTTTCAGAAAATCCGGAACGAAATTGCGGAACGAGGGGGAGTAGGGTCATTAATATACGATAAAATAATCGGTCGTAAACTCGACCACCTCGGTTTGGTGAAAAATCATCGATTTGACGGCAATTGTGTATAACAAGGGTGCATAACTAAATCCTTACTTTTGCTTAGGAATCGTAGCCTCGGTGTCATTTTATCGGTACTGTAACCATGATCATAGCGAATAGCCCATTTTTATTGCACATATGTTACAAAAAAAGTGCATCTAATTAAACAAGGAACTTTTCAACATTGTTACAATAGACTCGGGCTCAAAAGTCTTTGCACGACAAACGAATCGTTGATGTTTGCTTCAGAAGTATAGTAGCCAAGTTAAAAAAAACCCTTGTATAGCATGTTCGTGGCAACGATACGCATGCAATTCGACACATTTTTTGCTTTATCTTCGTGAGTGTGTATTATATATACCTATAGGTACTGTTTCATTTAACGAACAAGTTTCCTGGGTAATGAAATACTTGAACTACACAGAAGGTTTAGATAAGATAGAGGCTTTAAATATTTTAGACTAATGCCATAATTGGACACTAATTTATTTCATGCGTTCGACAGACTACTAAAATTATACAACAATTTACTTGAACATTGTTTCGTTATAATTGACACAATAATCTTTATGCTTAGTATCGACAACTATTCAATAATTTTTTTAATTTTCCTAAATTTCGGGTTGAACATGATAAGTACTCGTATAATTTTTACAAAATACTTTCAATATAATATAAAAACAATGTTTAACTATGTTGGTTGCAACTAGAACAATTAAGAAACAACAATGAAGAACAGCGCCGAAACTCCACTCGAGCAGCAAGTGACAGCTATTTCCGAACTAGACCAATGTATTGCCAAAGTGTAACAAAAAAAAAAAAAAAAAAAAATTGTTTAAATGTTCGGGTCGTAAGGAGTCCTAGCAAAGCTAAGCATTATTGTACCAGCGCATCAACGTCTTTGATTGTTTGAACCGATAAATTAATCATCATCACGAAATCAAATGGGACAAAAATACATTTACTTTTCAGTCATGCTAAAACATTTGAAATAAAAAATCTTCATTTACACTGCAGCGAGAAATTTCTGCTGTTGTAGTAAAGTACTTTCCGTATTATCCGTTAAGTTTTAACTAATGATCCTCATATCCTTAAACGGTACCTCAGCAGAGTTTAGTGGCTTTCGTCCCCCGAAGATACATTTATTTCCAATCCGCCGGCCTATGTGGAATCCGAGTTTTATGCAGCGAGAAGAAAAAAACCGGCTGCTGCTGCTATTGCTACGTAGTACGTACAAACATGCATATGTATATACACAACCCACGTCGGCGTATAGAGAGAGAGAAAAGGAGAAGGAGAGTAACGGCACTGGGCTAGCAAGCCAAACGGGATTTGTTATAGGCAAACAATGATGGAGTGAGACCAAAAAATCTAAGACGATTTGGCTGCGAAGAGGATATATATTATCTACTGTGTACGGTCACGACTTACTTGTGAGCATTACTTTGCCGCTGCCGCCGTTCCTTTCGGATGTAGACGCGCGCGTGCAGAAGAACCGTACCTAGGGTAGTGTACAACTCTCGGATAACCAGGGTCGCGAATCACTATAGCACAAAGCCGGTTTCTTGATTATTTTATTGGGTTCTCGCCGAGCCGACTTTGGAGTCACTTACCGGGGATCATTGAATTTTACACATAATTTAGTGGCTGAAAACATGGTTGTGCCACGATTGATAATTAGACGATTGGAATGTCGTCGCGTTCGTTTTAGTCATAGGTTGAAAACAGTTTGGCCCTCCAAGCTTTAAAATGAATAAATTTCTGTTCGAAGTTGAATGAAAAAATTAAAGAAAAAATAATGCGGTTGTAAACACTTTAATCATAATATCTTACGTTACGATATTGTATAAGCATATAGAGATTTCTCTGCCAATTCAAATCAAACTAATCTTCAAGAAAATTCAAGCAACCAAGTTTTGAAAAGCCTTGTTACGATTTTATCATTCATCATCTGTGTTAATACACTTTTACAGTACAGTTCAAAATTTATGTGGACCAAAAAGTCAATATGAAATTTAAGATTATAAAGAAGATCAATACTGAAGATTGAATAGATCAACAAATTCTTAAAAATATTTTTTTTAATACATTTTTTTTTCTTTTAATTTTTATTGCCCAACAGGCGGTATAAAAATTTTTATCGTTACACGTACTACAGTCGTTAACTCGAAGATGTAATAAATCCTGAATGTAATTATAATATCGATCTTTTTAAATGTGTTCTTTACACAACTTTTTCAACAAGGACGTATGTATAATGTAGTCAAGAAAACGTTATGATTTGATTTACATTTTACTTGACAATGAAACGATCCTTTCCAGAAACATGAGCTCTACAAAATCATTAACATTATTAATAATAAAAATACTTATCATTAAAAATCGTATTTTCATCTGATTTTTCTTTAATAAAAATTTTTCGTTCATTAGTTGAACTTACAGATATTTGAAACTTAATGATCATGTACAAGAACTAGAATATAATATAAGCATCATGTGTTTAAATAAAATGTTGGTTGCAAGTATTATGTGGCACTTGCAATAACCTTTTTTTTTCATCATTTGGTACACTTATAAGCAAATTAATATTGCTAAAGACTTTTAAATGATCTTAGAAAAACATAATGTATCAGCAAGGCACTTAGATTTTGTAAAAATATTTGCAAACACTACATACTGTACATAGAAGTGCTCCTCAGTATTTTGTGTTAGGTAAAATTTTTTTCATGTCTCAGCACTTATAATTTCTCAGTATCAAAAATAAAATATTTAACAATAAAGAAATTCGTTATGTACCAAATTTCTTTCTTTTTGGTATTTTCTGCAATTTGTACATATTGCATATCTGAGACAATAATTATAACAATAACAATAATGATAATAATTATAATAGTCATAGTAAAAAAAAATAGTGATAACAGAAATATTAACTGTATAAACAACAAATATATGGCACTACGATTTTAGAAAAAATTTTTTTGTAAATTTAATTGACCCTAAATCCTCGGATGAAGACACGTGGATTTTATAAGGTGCATTATTTGTACGTAGCACTAAATTTTAAAATTATAATGAACCCGTCTGTTGTTATTTAATAATATTGAGATATCAAAGTACGAAAAATGGGTACTTTATAAATTAAAAAAAAAATTATTACATAAAATTCGTAATTTTACATCTTTATACATTTCAAAATGTAAACAATCTCTCTTATAGTATAGAAATTTTTTTTTTAGATATTTTTTTGATTTCCATTCCACGAAGCTTAACTTCTTGAACAATTTGAGATAGTTATTTTCGTCATTATTACGAGTAAAGTTTTTTAAAAATATTTTATTGAAGACTCCACACAAAATCGTTTAAGGAACAGCAATTTTGTAAAATAATTTGTTTCCAACTTATAAAGTACCACATTTTCGTACCATAGTATCTCATTCTTATTAAATGACTACTCTATTAGAATTTTGAAATTTAGTGCACATAAGTACAGATAGTAAACCTCTTCAGCGATTTTTAAATTTTTCTGCACACCTTAGAAAAGTGACTTGATCAAGATTGGTAACAAAAATTGATGATTCTCTGCTTTATCAACGATTAAGACTTTGCATTATCCTCTGGTTGTAATTACAATATAAAAAATTACCAGCTTTTTTGGTATTAGGCAATACATCAAGCTACTTTACAAAAGCTTTCATCTCATACAATTTTGTCTAAAAAATTATAAACTTTTTTTCGTAAAAAGTTTATCGAAGGTCTTCTTATGTAAGAGCCTTCGAAGGTAATGTCTTTTGCGTTTGGAGCGCGGAACAGTAAATATCCGTCTCCACAGTTACATTTAATTACAGTATGTAAATAAGCCCAACGTTTATTGGGTCTTAGTTTTGCCGTTAGAAGTTTCAACATAGGCTCGGCCGTTAACTGTTAACTTCTTGTTCGGCTTTTTAACGTAAGTTTTGTAGTAAAAATCACCAAAAAGTACGATCATAAAGAGATTCTGGGGAATGAATACGAGCACTGGCCACAGAGGGAAGCCACAGTCTCGGAAGAAAAGTTGCGAGAAGTGGACGAGAATTAGGAAAAACTGGAACAACTGCAGCTGCGTTATATATTTCTTCCACCAAGGTTTGGTGATTCTCAGCGACATTATGAGGTAATGCGAGTACATGACCATATGGACGAATGCATTCACTAAACCTGCAACGATTTTTTTTTATTAGTAATGATGATTATGATAATGATGATAAAATGAGAAGTTATGACAATTTTTATAATAACTAAATACGTTTTTACACGTCAACGATAAGCCATTGATTATTTTTACTAGCCATGAAATTAATTATGTAAGTGGAAACAGCTGAAATTTTAAATGCAGTTAAATAAAAATTAAACAAAAAATCACGAATTTTATATAAATATATATTTATTTAGTTTATAGAATTTTAAATATATATTGACCAAAAAACGAGATTTGTAGTTCATAAGTAACGAATGTATATATTTCACTGCATAAATACAAACTATTAGAGATTCCAAGTACTTAATTATTTGAATATTCAGGCGGCTCTTTAGCATACACCAATGCAATAGGCAGTCGAAACAATTTATTATACTTTTCAATTGATAAGTGTTTTTCAAATTTAGATTATGTAAGATGTAACCAAAACCGATTGGACAAAGCAGCGGTAAAATTCTAACAGAAGCAAAAAAAAAATTGTATCAAAACTTGTGTAAGTTGAAAGTCATGGAACATAAATTACAACGTTAACAATATAATTAGCGATCGGTGTATTAAAAACAATGATTGTGTAATAGCAATAAAAACTTTAACTCTTAATTTTAAAAGTAATTCAAAGTATTAAGTAAGTCATTTGAGAAATAGAAAAAAGAAATCGATTCGGTTTTACGTGAATTAAAAAAATTCCATGAGCTCAATCGGATTCTTATTCTGAACGTTTTCTTCCACTCGATGCAAAGTGGTGAAGCAGAATTAATCGATTTGATTATAAAAAAACCTCTAAAGTCAAGTTTTCTCGAAAGCTATTGACGCCACAATCATTATAAAAATTGAAGTTATAACATGAAAAAACTCAATAATCTTCCTCGTCATGTTTGTCACAAAATTAAAAGAGCACCACTGAACTTGCACGTGCGTATGAGCGAACAGATGAGTAGCTAAGAGAAAAAAAAGAAGGTTTCATGTAGCTTAACACTTTCAGTGCCTGTGCTAAAACAATGAAATTTTGATTTCTTTTGTAACGGGATTGTTTACGTGAGAAAAATGGAAGCCGATCTAATAGTGTACTATTCATGAAAGCTGTCAATACTTTATACATGGCGATTGATCGAGAAAAATTTCTGATCTCGAAGCAAGTTAAATTTGAACCACTTTTTTGATGAATAAAAGTTACGATTAGCATTAACAGTTCAAATATACTTTATTATATGTAATCAATTTTTAAAGTTTCGGTTGATATCCTATACAACATTTTTCAAGCACAAAAAAAAACTAGAAATAATCATTATTACGTATCTGACTTGTCTGTCTAATGATAGTCATAATAATAATGATAAAGAAAAAAAATAATAAAAATAAGAGTTTTAGCAGTATTGCACTTGAAAAAAGTTGTATAAAATAGTAACCGAACGTTGCGAATTAGGTACATGTAAATACAGTATATTTAAACAGCTAAAGTCAGTAGTTGCTGATTTATTTATTGAAATAGTTTGACATGCTGTTTGTTGATTCAAAAAATATGGAATTATGAATGTGGTAAACAATTTTTACTTAAAAAATTACTTTTTTGTACATTCGAGCATCAAAGACTTTTTTGAAAACTAAATAAATCAACATAAAAATACTTAATAAAAGTTAAAAATAGTAAAAAAATAAGGTATCACGTTGGAGTGAATGGAATAAACGTACAGTAAATAAACAACATTAAATATTACGCAAGACTATGTTTTCAAGCTACATAAAAAGTTATGCATGAAAAAATGAGAGATCTGGAATAAATGAGATTCTATAAAAATTTATTGATTACTTGTCTTACCTAGAAACGTGATATGGCCTCCTGGAACATATTTAACGCCACCCCAGCCACCCATAACCATACCAGCATGATGATATACGTGAAGAAATGAGATTTGATTATCTTTTTTCCTAAGAACGAAAAAGACTGTATCCAAGAGATCGAGGATTTTTAGTATGAAATACAAGTACACCGTGGATGCCACCTAAAACAAAAAGGTTGACTTACGTTGTTGTCTCCGTACAAAAAATTTACAAAAATTATTCATTGAATAAATTGTTTTAACATAATAATTTGTATTCAAAATATTATTCATCCACTGATTGTGAAAATAGAAAAAAATAAATAAATAAAAAAATAAAAATGACCACAAGTTTTTAGCTATTGTAATTACCTCGATGGCTTTTGGACTATTTGAATAGTCGATCGGTTCACATGTGTAGTTGTAGTCTTTTAACCATGCCAATACTAAAGCCTATGATAAATTAAGAGAAGAAGTATAGAAGTATACTCACGAATGTCGAAAACAAATAACAATATTTACAAAGATACTTACTTTATAGAATAAATAACTATTTAATATAATTTGTACAAGGTCATATATTTGCATGACCCTATCTAAATTCATTGGCTTTCTCTTGGCCATAATGCTGGGGCCGAGCCTGTAGATAAAGTGCAAGTAAATTCCTATGATGGCTAGGCCCGGCCATGGTGAACCAATCATGAACCAATTGTTCGTCCTAGAATCTAAAACGTGAGAAGGTGAATGTTGAGGGTTAAGTGTTTTTTCAATTTTCTTCTTATTTAAGCCAGTTTTATCCGTGTATTTTATACAAAAGATTTGAAATAGAGCTTTTACCCGGCATTATTTTCTGTGCATGATAAGCGCAGCAGATGCATTAAAAGAATATTAAAATATTTAATCCAAGGACTTATTTATTTTTAAAAAACTTTTCACAATTTACGAGTCAAGGAGCATTTTTTTCCGATAGAAGATTAACTATGAAAAATTAGATGGTATTAATAATAATAATAATAATAATAATAATAATAATAATAATAATAATAATAATAATAATAATAATAATGAGAATAATTATCAAGAGAAGGCTGAATGATGTGTAGCTGACAAACCGATGAATTTAACATTGAGACTTATAACTCGCGTTGACGTAAATGGAAATCGGTAACAAAAATTAACATGTTTGTGAATATCAAATAGTGTGATTGAATCAGTTCACAAAAAATTGTGTAAGCCGATGCATTTATTTGCACACGTAAATAGCAGTATTTTTATGATTCCGGGGTCGAATAATGCTTTTTTGAATAAAATGAACACTTGTTTTGCTGCGTACGTACGTATTAAAAAGAAAAAAGAGATTCAGATTTAAAGTTTGAATTTCTATGAGTGATTTACTATGAGTTTTCTATGAGTGATATGAGTGAACATTTAGATGCTGTTGAGCGACAATATTTGTAATGACCCATTAGCGTAAAGGAAATGTTCCAAAAATAATTATATGTACAATAATAAATCAGTGAGTGCAGTTTTGCTCGAAATTTTCATTGCACAAATTTTAGCATCATTATTGGAGCCAATAGTAATCCGAACTTGGAAAGTTAGTAAGTAAAAGAGTAAATAATGACAATAAGCGTACCTGCAAGCTCCTCGTTGATAAATCGGTAGCCCCGCATCATCGCTCGGATTATCGTAGCCATGCTTCTTGCTTGCGATGTCTAACTAATCGTTTGTACGGATATACCTGTATGTACAAATGCACCCTATGTATATCCCGTCTTCTTCGTTGCACTTATTTCACTTGCGACTTCATAAACAATATCCACGGTGTCTTTCGAGCACACGCTTATTATTTAATATAATGCGCCTGTCTGCCTATCAACCTATGTGATTATCTTCGTATATCCAAATGACTGGTATCGGTGGAGTTACAACGACCGGATCGATCGCGTCTCGGGGATCATCCCCAAAGATGTACGTCTCAAGGTAGGGCAAAATTCGGCAAAGAAATTGTTTAATTCGTCAGTTTTGATACACTTTTTTTAAGCGGGGGTGAATAAAAGAGAGGGACACACAAGAGAGAGAAGCCCACCGACCCACCCAGCCACCGCGAAGAACCAACAAGAACTGTTACCTTCGATTTCTTCGCCCCATCAATCCAATCGAGTCAGTGGCTTAAACTTGGAGGTGCGAGTCGTTTTTTTGTCTCCCTCCCTCTCTTGCTTTGACAACGACGTCGTCGGCTATATTCTATCTATCATTTCCTGTACTGTAGGCGAATGAAGTAAGAAAAAGAAAAGAAAAAAAAAAAAAAAAAGAGAGAGAGAGAAATGGTCTCTCCTCGTTAGCGCTTGTATGCAATGGTTGCGGAGTTCAGCTGATGTGCTTTGAGGAATCGTCATTGTCACCCACGACCGCTCGACCCTGTGAGCCCCCGATTCCAAAAGGTTACAATATACACTATTAGGCTTTTACTCAATGAACTTACATAGCTCTGCTTGGTAAACGATGAGAAACTTGAGTTCGAGGGGTTGTTGGATCATTGCACATTGAGCCAGTACAGTTTTAGCTGAACGGTCGTGCATGATGCCGATGCATCCATATCTTACTTCGGTATATCCATGCGCGCATGTATATTATGCAAGTGCATGGACGGTGACACGCGAGATAGCTCCGTGCAAAACACTATACGAAAACAAGACGTGCTAATCGTGCGCTGCGCTGCGCTTGATCAAGGTAAGAAAGACAAAACATAACTGCAAGATATACCTACCTATACGTTCTTGGATTCGCGCGTGTCATGATTTTTCTTTCGAGAGAGTTATCGCCTAGGTACTGTGGAAAAATCAAGAAACGAAGGATCGATCGATCGATTTGATTCATCTACGTTTAAAGCGCGATAACAGGTTACTTACTCTACACTCGTTTTTTTTTTTTTTTTTTTTTTTTTTTTTCATTATTATTAAGCTCAAGGGCACAAGGTGCAAACTTTATTTTTCCTGCGCACAGTACAATAGTAATTTCCGTACCTGGTAGTGCATGCTGTATTTCACATTATCCTGATTATAATATACGTAAATCCAATGATGATACAGGGAGCGCTGACACGATAGCAGTGAGTTAAGTACTGGTTCTTGTAATAATGGAGCTTTCTCCAAGGAGACTGAGCCGTAAAATCGATCCGATGATGATGGCTCAAGGGGTTAAGAGTGCCAGCTTGGCAAACAATAACAGACAAGGTGTAAGTTACCTGAATAATCATCTTCACCGGGGATGAATTTGGATGCCCAACAATTCAAAGATGACCATCATGGGATGGCCAATACCTTTGCAAATATTGGGCTTAAGAGGTTGTCCACGGTGAAACAAAAAAAAGGAAAGAAAAAAAACACATTGATACCAAACCCCACCTATGCTCGTTTATTCAACCAATTGATTTTTTTTTCTTCTCGAAGACTGTGTTTTTGAAGTAAAGAGAGTGTGTGCCTTCAATGAAACAAACAATTTTGTAAGAATTACTTTGTCTTATATTTTTAAAACTAATACTATCCCTATTTTTTCCATAATTAGGTTTAACTTTATATTCCTACAACTCATTTAATTATAATTTTTTTATATCTTCTTTCCACTTTTTTATTTGTTGTTTTACTCTATACCTTAAGGTAAAGGCAGAACAAAAAAGTTTGACGATAAAAGTGTCAAAATTCTTCTCATTAAAAATTACCGGGCCACGAACAACATGCTTTATTACGTATCAATGAACACATAATTATGATGCATATGCATCAATGTATATAAATATTTAAACGGTGAAATATTTTGCGTGATAATGCCCAAAACAAAGTGTGCATAAACAGAAGAGGCAAAGAACTGAATAGCATTATACTTGTACATGTAAGCATTATTTTTTTTTTAATTTGGGTACGAAAAAAAAGCCTATGTGCCTACATTAAGTCGAAAATACACTAACTATAGAAAAATAAAACGCCAAAATTTTTTTATCCATTATTAATTAAAAAAAAACGAAGCATGTTTATTTCAGCAGACCTATATAATATTATTCAACACATTATAAGAAATGGGTTTTAATAACAAAAATTTTTATAAACTATTATACTTATGCGTTAAGTTTGTAGCTATGAAAATTCATCACTTTCTACCAATGGCTCTAATTATTATTGTTAATGTAATATGTTTGACCGTTTTTACCCCAGTAATTTCAGTTTTCACGAGGATACCAAGATAAAAACGTCATCGTCGTCGTCGTCGTTGAGAGACAAGCGTTGCGCAACCAACGATTGAGCTTCTAATTCGTGGAAATAAAAAAGTGCAAAGGAAGAAGAAGAAGAAGAAACGTCGAATAGACTTTGTACGTCAGCGACTCAAATTTTTTGCAGGGTTGTAGATCAGCGCGTAAACAGTTTATCATCAAAGATTCTTTCGCAAATGTGTTAGCGACCGTCACCACTATTAGCAGCGCTGCTGCCAGTCTTGTTATTATGCTCAACGTGAGCCGTTCATTTTCTCGCACGCTTAGCATACAATGAACTTTAGCTGCCACTTACGAGAGCCAATATCTACGTGATTTTGGAATGTGGGAAATCGCGTAATTATTACGACGACCGCGCAAGAAAGAAAGAGTCTTTGTAACAGACCCTCACCAGGTGTAGACATTTATTACCTCGTTCTTATACAAAATTATACTCGAAACATTTTATATCATTTTTTTTTTTTTTTTTTTTTTTTTTTTTTCATACAATTAATTTTTAAAGTTGATATAATTTTGGAATGCAAATCACAAACTCATATTTTATTTTCTCTTAATACTGTAGGATTAGTAAAGTGCAAATCTTTTTCCGTAAGGTCTTTGACCTTTAATAAATAAGTGGTGATATTTAATGTGATCAAAAACAAACACTCTCATTTTTAGTTGATTTCGCTGTTAACTTATGAAGTTATGGAAATTAATACATACATATATATGTATAAATTTGATAAGAAAACGCATAAGAGCACTCGACGTAACTTAGTTACCTGAGAAAGTTGAAATATCATTTTTACAGAGATTATTTACGTATGCATAATGTGATTTAGTTCGGTCATTCACATACATTGTATGCTTTTACATGCTTCCATATGCGCGCGACCGCACGCGTGTGTGTGACCGCATGTGTTTGTGTGAGTAACCTCGAATTGTAGCCACATCTATTAATGACATGTAAATAAGCTGGTATTACAAGCAGTGGCAGCAGCAGTGGTGGTACGTAAGGTCAGGGAACTCGAAATTTTTATCACTGCTGCACTTACGATTGGCCAGTTTTGTATCAAACAGTGATCAAGGGGTCATTGACTTCTCTATAGTTACGATTTTATCAATGACATTATCATCTCGAATCCATTCATTCGCCTCGAACGTGAAAATATTATCATGATTTCATAGTACTACAGCATGTTCTTATGAAAAATCATTTCAAAAGATCGGAAAGCCGTAAGTGTTACCTAATATTTACTACAATTGATAATAATTTTTAGAGTGCATTCTTAATATAGATAATGCTGAAACCATTAATCAGGCCAACTGCTCAACAGCTCAACTTGTGTTGGTCAAGTTCTATCGATGACATTTATCGTTTTTTTAAATTCTACTGTTAAAATCTCATTAAGACCATTACACTTACATTGTATATAATCGACGGAAATTATCAACCCAAATGAATTTTGTTTATCTAAAGAACGCGGTAATACAAGCATAGACCTGGCAGATATCTAAATGTTTTGTTAAAATTTTGTAAGTATAATAGTCTAGTTCAGCGGCGTTAATATCATTATGTGTAATCAGTCATAGATATACAACTGCCAAATCTCCTCTCGATGTATATATAGCTTTTTTACCCACATCTTGATAAGAATCTTTTCCGTTCATTAGTTAGTTATTTATCAATTACGCCAAAAAATATTTCCATTAATTACTCGACCAAATGTATTTTTAATTTTGAATTCGTATCAAGTTTGAATGAACAATTTAGTCAAATAAAAAAAAACATAAGTAGTAAAATAGATTAGGAAAAAAAATGTTTTTTCAACAGTGTGAGTATTTACGTGCATATTGAATTTATTCTCTTACGATGTATTTGATTTTTATTTACACTATTTTCATTACACTATCAAGTGACTCGTACGAGAATACTAACTTCCTTAAGTGTGGAGATGTAGATCTTGAATTCAGACCCTTTTCCCCCTCAGTGTACAAGCCTTTCGTGCAAGCCCCCCATTTTTCAACAGTTTACTAGATAAAACTTTCAGGCTCGTGGATCGTCCCAAACATATTTCAGCTAATTTTAAATCCGCGGGTGGGTATACCTTACGAACTATCGATACCTTACAACGATTTGTTAAAAATTAATTAATTCATACCATTAATTATCTGAAAGACAAAATATCAAGTTATTACGTGCTACGGGTACTCTTCCTATCCAAAAAGTCAGAGTTGCAAATTATCGGAAATTTTTATTGGGATTCAAATCTGTGATCATTTGAATTTTTCATACTGAAAGGCTAGTAAGCTAATAAATAAGACTGTCACTACTCTATTGATGAGTAGTATTTTATCTTATTGGTTACCGAATTATTTTTGCAAAGCAAAGTTTTTAATTATTCCGGTAATAAAACGTACACCACAATAAAGAGTACAATATTCGATGGATCAGAGTACGAATTAAATTAGAAAAAATACATAATACGATTATATTTGATTAATCAATAGTTACTACTTTTTAACACTAAAGTAAATAATTGGTGGTTCCAAACTTTTTTTTTTCGGAATATTGAGTGATTGTATTTTTTACTGCTGTAACGAAATTCAATTGAAACCAAAGCGTAAGGCTGTTTTATATTCAACAGACTATAAAGTGAATTGTTGATACACCGTATCTACGTATATTGTACATATTGTGTGTGTATTTATTTATTTATGTATGTATGTATGTGCATATTTATGTATGTATAGATGACTTGGACAATACTTCCAATCGTAAAAAAACACTTTGTGTGGTGCAGTATCACGCCGGCGTGGTGTCTTGATGAAAAGGTCTCAAACATGTATTTGCATACAAGTTTTACGAAAGCTTGATGAATTGCATGTACAATTTTGGCAAAAATTATAATACACGGGTTCACTTCATGGATAAGAATACTTGCATACGCATATGCTGTTGGACGCATTAGCAACAGAATAGAAAATTATGTTACGGGTATCGGAAGCTTCCGAAAGTAATTCCATGGGTCACGATCATGACCTCACTCGATTTTTAAATGACACTGGCTTCCAGTTTTGTGGCCTGATCCTCAGTGTACGAAACATGTTATCACTATACATACAAAATCCGGAGTGACGAAGAAAAAGGGACATTAAGTGACGAATTACATTTTCCATTGTTCATTATTGTTGAAAAAACAACAAAAAGTTCTAAAAGTAAGCTAATGAAGAGTTGTGCAGCAGTTGTTTTAATACATATTAAATCATTATTAAATTTTGATAGAATGATGCACAGCACACATGCTCGGTTGCTTTTACGAATGCCAATATATTTTTTTTATAAATTGAAGCCTTTAGTAGGTAGTCTTGCATATATATTTACACTTAAATGCTTATAGCTGCTTACGTGGTGATATATGAGAACATCGGTGTACTTTCATGCGTATCAAAAAATAAACTCTATATTTATATTATTTTCATACACTAAAACTTAACCAATTTTCTCATACATAAAATTCAGTAGTAATTAAAAAAAAATTGTTTCGTTTAATTTTTCTTCAGCTATGCGATAAATAAAATTATTTTGTGGATACATATAGTACAGTCATAAATACATGACTCAAGGAACCCTTAAGATACATCTGTTTTAGGTATGCTGACCATGTGACAGTATGTTCTATAATAAAATTATAGAAATAAGAGACATTTGACCTTGAAAATAATTTAATAATAATGAAACTCCAAATATATCTAAAAACCTCAATGAAAATATGAAAAAATGTGAAAATAATAAATGATTTGATTGATAAGAAATAACGTGAAAATATCTCGGTCGATACAATGACCGCTATAAGGTGAGCAGTGAGCGGTAAAATCGGTAATCGGTTGACTCGAGTTTTCTGCAACCATTCGCTTATACCTACCGATGAAATAAATCACAATTTTTTTCAAGTTAAAAAAAATTGAAAATTCTTCATCGCAAAACACAATGCAAGCTAAAAATTTAGTTACACAAAAATTGTGATTTTTCTTTCAGTTTTTTTCCACGATTAAATCATATAACTATCGATTTCGTCGTATATTCGTTCGTAATTAAAGGATGGAGAACTAATGTAAATATATTTGAATAAGTTAGTAACAATACAAATACCAATTACTTTTATAATGAAACAAAGTCACTCAGTGTCTAAAATTCTCGCATTAACTCCGAGTATATTCTTCAGATTGTCAGAAAATACTCACCAATTGACTCACAAATTGACTTAACTAGAGCGCTCATATAAAAATTTTAAATTATTTTTCGTCTATGTTGATATTGAAACAAGAGAGCATATTGTTGCAAAAAATCAAGCTTTTGCTGATAAGGCGACTGCTGTATTTTTTACTAGAGCAAAAAGTTTGCAACATATTTCACATTACACTAAAGTATGAAATTCAGACATGTTTAATTTCGATCTAAGATACATAGGCCTAAAATGTGAAAGTTATATCATTGAAATACATGAGGATGATACATATCACAAAGTTTTTTTTACCGATAAAGCAAAATGGTGAAATGAAAAAAATAATTATAAACCATAACTTTTCGAACAAATTTTTCGTTAAAAACTTTATTTATGTCAAATTGTTATTCAAATGGACAAAAAAACTACTATTTTAATGTCTTTTTTGACAATCCGAAAATCTACTACTTCGTTCCACAACACATAGATTTGTCAACTCTAAAAGTAATAGCCAAAAGAAGCATTTAGTTCGTATTTTTCTTGGTTTTTCGTAATTTTTAAGGCACTTAAAAGGTTCCTAAAAAATAAATAAATATAATAAAATAATGTATTTTCTTGGGAACTGCAATATTAATCAACTATTTATGCACCTAAAATTATAAAGTTTCATGAAAAATACTGGCTTCTTTTTCATTCTTCAAGTTTTGCAATTTTAGGGCTAGAAAAATTTTCCTCCTTTATAAAACTTATTATACTTGAAACAATTAGGTTGTAGTGTATAATCGAAACTACACATCAAATTTCCACTAATAAGATGTGAGCTTTGATGTGAAATAGTCAATTTACATGTCTTTTCACGCACGCACACATACACATACTTTTTTTTACACTTGGTGAGTACTACTCCGATTATCCTTATTTTTTTTATTTTATTTTTTTTCAATTTGTTTCACATAATAAATAAACAATTTATGCATGGATACACTTTTTTTTCGATGGAACTATAAGGTACTCCTATGGAGCAGTCGTGCCTAAAACTATAAAAATGTGTACAAGAAAAAATTGACAGTAAACGAATTGAATTTTTAAAAACGATTTTTGTGTTGATTGACCTTTCATTTATCCACCATTTAAAAATGTTCAGTGACGAAAATTTAATTTATTAAGATTAACAACTAAAAATAAAAGTCTTAAAATAAAACGATTTCCTCATCATTTCAAAAATAATTGTCGTTTAAAATGTTACAATGAATCTGCAAAAATAAATACGTAGTACAAAAAATGTGTATTTCTTTGGGATCAGCAAATTTTGTACTTAGCAATTTGAAGTAGGATGTTAATTTTGTCAAGTATAAGCTCAAAAATTGTTATAGCTCTTTTTTTTTTTTTTTTTTTTTTTTTTTTGTACCTTTTTTTTGCCTTACAGAGCAATTAAATTATTTAAAAACACACCGTGAGACCGACTTGGACAGCACTGATTTTTTCACCCAAAAACTGTTTTTATAAGAGGTTACACTTTCCGTCCTGACGAAAATATCAAACACTCCTATAAATTGGTCAAGCCCAAAAAACTGATAGTCTGAAAACTGATTAATCGACTTTTTCGTCAAGCTTCGCATGACTATTGGCGTGGCCGTTCGCATAACCATTCACTTTGGCCTTTCCGTTAGCCGTGACGCAATTTGTTGTGACTGCCGGTGTCCTCTCTTTCATCTGTTCTCTGGATCTTGCAGCCCTCTTGTAAGTTTTTACGTAAAACGAGCCAAACAGATAGATAAACAGCCCTGCGTTGATACACAGCAGCATCGCCAGTGGCTTCGGATAGTTGCAGTCTGTCACCAAAACCTAAGCGCGGTATCGAAATTTTTACTTATTCAATTATTATTGATAATGTCATCAACATCGGAGTCCCTATCATCAGCAGTGGGTATGGTGTCAAAGACCAAAAGAAAAAAAATACTTGGAGCTAGGGCAGTAGTTATATACCTGAAGGTTGTGGAAGAGAATGATGACGAACTGAACTAGTTGTAAGGAAGTGAGGTGCCTCTTCCACCATAGGTACTTCTGCACTTCGGGTCCGAAGGCCGCGAGCATGTAGTACGTGTACATAAGTATGTGGATGAAGCTGTTGATGAGTCCAAGGAGGGTAGCGTGGCCGCCCGGGACAAATCTGACGCCGATCCAGGCGCAAATGGGCATCATTGCGTGGTGGTACAAATGCAGGAAGGATATTTGACGCTGCTTTTTGCGCATCACGAAAAACACGGTATCCAACAGCTCGATCAGCTTGCAGATAAAGTACATGTACACCGCCCGTGCCATCTATCATGCAAACCGTAATACATAGATATAATTAATAGTTCATTTTTTTTTTTTTTTTTTTTTTTTTTTTTCATCACATATCACTCGGTATACCATTACAAGTCAGATTAACGTAGGCGTAGATACAAATACGAATTAAATGTTATGCAATTACTTTAGTTTTTTTTTTTTCCAAGCCAACACAAATAATATTGTATATTTTTACCCTCAAAGATTGCGAGTTATTAGAGTAGTCTACTGGTTGGCACTTGTAGCTGTAGTCGTAAAGCCAACCAGCCATCAGTCCTTCGTGGACTAGGTAAATGCTGAGAATCACTTGCACAAAGTTATAGACGATTAGCGTATACCTAAGGGTAAATGGTTTTCTATCTTGCATTATTTTTGGGCCCAGCGACGTGCAAAAGTAGAGATAAAACGAGACGATCCACAACAAGGGCCCTGGACCTGACGCAAGTAGCCAGTCTTTCGTGCGCGGGTCTGTGAATTCAATAATTTTGTCGTTATTTCTAACAATGAAATATCATGTGCAGGCCAATTTTTTTTTTTTAGGCTTGCAGTTTTTTTCAAAAATAATTACCATTTCTGTTGTAAATGAGATCTTTGTAGTAATCTACGATGACCGACATTCTGACTGTCGAGTTTTTGTACTTCTATCTGCAAAATTAAAGATAAAAAGATGAAAAAAGGGTCATTTTTTCTTAAAAAATAATCCTTATTTTATTCTAAGAGAAATATATCGTAGTTTTTTTTTTTGCCACCGCTAGTTTTTTGAGGTTCACAAGTTGCTTTCCTTTAAATTTGACTTTTGGCTTTGTTGTACGTTAATACAAACCAGGGCATAATAGTAGTAACTTTGTAACTGGTAAGATTTTTTGAACGAAAGTTTGACCGAAACACATAGTAGAAACAGCCATATGATGTTTACATATTGGATACTAAAATCATGGTTAAAAAGGAAGAAGATGAGAAAAATTCATGTAAGCGTGTACAATGGATAACGAAATTAAATACAACAATTTCGCCTAACGGGATCGATGAATAATATAACGTTAAATCCTTGTAAGGCAGGTTTGATATAATCGAGACAAGGCAGAGCCCACTTTAGCGATTCGTAGTATAATAAGTTGTCGTAAAAATTTTCCTTATCTTTTTTCTTCGTATTTGCCGCACAAAAATTTGAAAGTTCCCTTGACTTGATGAATCTCACAATCATACTCTTATAAATTTATGCAAAGCAAGTCAATCATCCGTTAGCTGTGATGTTCGATTTTTTTTTCCCGTTCCCTACAATTTTTTGAAAAATATTGAGGTAACAACAGATGACGTAGTAAAGATATTTCAACACGTATTTGTATAGATATTTTTTAGTAGTGGAAAAAAAGTTGACCAGGCCATGAGATTTCATGATGAATGATTAGTTCCTCAATACTGCGGACTTTTATTAAAATATTGAAATGAGAGTTTTGACCTCGCACTTTTAAAACCTCCAACAAAAATCATAGATTATCCTTCACAAGATTCTAAAGTATAGGTATGAGTATCGAAATGCATTATCACGCAAATAGGGGTTTGGGACTGAAGATTGATCAAGCTTTAGTAAAAAAAACAGTGTACTCGAAGTGGTAACCGTTTTGAGCAAAAATAGTGTCAACCATATAATAAACTCCTCTCTCTTTCTCTCTCTCGTTCAGGAAACCAGTTTTTTTGTGTAGGCTTTGTATGGTTGGAATGATACAGACACAGGGTATAAATATACACATACATTGTTAATTTGAGTTGATTCATCGTGACACTACGAACAAAAAAATATATGCATTTGCACGCACGCGCATGTCTCTTTATACGTAGTAACTCAAGTTCGCACCAAGGCAAGCGAGTTATACTCGAATATTGTGAGCGTGTGGATGCAGGTGTACGTTCACCGCCAAAGACATGTCCACACTTTTACTTTCATTTCCTATGAATCTGTTTGTTTCTTTTTTTTTTTTTTCTTTTCCAGTATGAAGCCAATTTACACAAAATGTATGTGTGTAACGATTTTTATGAAGGAATGACACGCTAAAGTTTTATCATGAAATTTCTAAACATTCTTAAATCCTAGTTAAATAAAAGCTTAAGAATGGTATACGATGTAGTAAGAATGTATACCATGAATATGATGGCATGTGTCCAAAAAATAAAAAATAAAAATTTAAAGGATCTAACTGTAATAATTCAATAATCATACATTTATTTTTTATGTTTGTAAACACTTGTAGGGAAAATGACATGAATACAACAATTTTCATATGTAAACTTTTCATGTCGAAAGTTTTAGTTAAAATAATGTTCAAAAACTAGAAGTGTTATTTCTTATAGGTCACGAGCACTGACTAATGTTACCTCAATAATTGATACGTTCAAAATTAACGTTGTGGATTAGTTATCTTTAAGTGAAAATAGAAAAGTGCAAAAGGCTTCCGACTGGATTAATTTCTCTAAAAACGTGTATAAAACATATTATCTTTGAATAATGAAAAATTGTTCTTCTTGTTTCGCAAAATGACTGCTACAGATTATACCTGTGACAAAAAATTGGTCCCTCCGGAAGCATCATATTACAGGGTTAGATACATCAGATGAAGACAAAGCATAGCGATTCTTTTTAATCATCTCAGCTTACCCTCGTAATCTGACCCCTGTAAAACAAAGTGCCTCAAGTCATGCCATAAAGTTTTAATTTACTTCAACCATCGTTCAAACCTCAGCTTATAATTCTCTACCTTTTCAAAGAAGGCTATATTTTTTATTAAGTAGACTGTAATGTGATGTTATATCCATTGCCTAAACATTTAAAACCAAGCCTATATAATAAACGGTTGACGTACAAGTTCAGTCAATAGTCTTAAAAAGTAATACGTTCTCTTTGAAATATTATCCATGCTATTGAAATCTTATTAATCTTGTATTTTATTACCTTGATTGATATAGAATCCCTTTTTCAAAAATTCTAAACTATCGGATTAGTTACGACTGATTGGTATCTCAGTTAGTCAAAGAGAGCCTGCTGCATAAATCTATCGACACAATAAGTGTATCACTCCCTCTGGATATGCGGGTGTGTCTCCCTTTGGCTGATTTTTAAAAAACCTGGGTTTGTTTTTTTTGTTTTTAGAGACTAATCCCTCTTAAGCAATAAAAGTGTGATTAAATTAATTATATNATTATTTTCTAACAAATATATTTACGTATTCAAAATATATTATTTAAATTATTAAAACAACAAAACAAGCTATGATTCCGGAAAATATTTTACTGCTGACTTTTTAGTACAAAATGAGTTTCCAATTGAAAAATCTTCTCGCCGTTAACGATATCACAATAATTAATTAAACTAAACAAGATATTGATCGGCAAAGCCCTGAGGTTCACAACATTGAGAATTAAGGCGTTTTGTTAATTATACGTTGTTAGAAATAAGACCAAGTTATGCCGCAGCAAAATACAAGGCGGAAACTTAATTAAGGCAGAGCTAGAAACGTTAACTTAAACAAGACTATTTGATAAGATGCATCTAACAAGTTGGAATAGGAAGAAACCTGCTGTTAGTTTATTGGTATAAATCTTTCGTAAACTCTGATTTATCGATTTTTTTTTTTTTTTTTTTATTAGTAAAAAGTAATTTCTACTGTTCAATACAAATTTTTGCCGAGAATCGTGTAAAAAACATGCTTTGTAGTATAAAAAATTTAAATATATTATTTGGAGAAAATGTAAGTCCATGAGTGCTTCGCCTTTCTAAGGAGGTTACACAAAAATCCATTTGTTTCTGTTGCAAATTAAAAAAAAAAATTTTTTGTTAAAACAATTATTCCTGACAAATAAGCACTCGTTTTTAATTTCTAAGTCAGTTTAAAATGAAGATTAAAATAAAAAAATAGTTTGAAAATCTTACGTATTCAGTAAACATGGGAATCGCGTGAGTGAAAAGTGACAGATTTATATCTTCACTTGCCTTCAATTTGGGCGGTAATAACCGTACAATTTTTCTACGTCGATGTGTTTAATACTCTCAAATCGTTAAAACGAGATCAACTGCTGCTGAGACGGTTGACACACACGTGCAATCTGTTTGGCGGTCAGTGGCTCACACTAGCAGCCATTTCTCGCCAAGGGAAGTCAGCAGCAACTTATCGTCCAAGCCTACGGAACCGCTATGTCTACAGGTCTCTATCGATGGGGTCAACGCCTTGCCTAGTTTCTTCATGGATTTGAAAATTATCAGTACCACCGTGTGGATGAGATGTACTTGTAAAAATTATCATCTCTCACAAATCACAAATTGGACACTATACTTTCTCTTTTTCCTACCTATGGTTATCAAACACTTCATTTTCCGAGACTCGCAAATATGCGTAAGTGCGATCAAATTCCTTCCTTGGTGTCAGTAGATCTCATTGCCCACAAAAATTTTGAGAGAGTAGTAACGTTTATTTAATTATGAAACAAAGAAAGTACATTCGTAACATTTAATTTTTTTGTCAAAGCAGAAGCGACTAGGAGCATCGATCACTAAAGTGATGAGATGCGTTGGCAGAAATAAGGAGGGTGGTAAAACAAGTTCACCTGAAGTATGTACAGTCACCCTTGCACTCGCTATAAGCTAATACAATTGAAAAAAAGAAGTCGAGCGGATACGGCCAAAAACAAGAGTAAGTGAAATTCGCTTATTTGCAAATCAAATTAACTCTTTGCCCCTCTTCTCTTAACATTAATTACATTTGAAATGCGGACCACGTACGTAAATACTTGGAAAACAAAAGATAATCAGACGCCTGCATCAAAACGCGTAAAATCTGTTTTTTTTTTTGTTTTTGCGACAAGTCGGTCAAGGCTCTTCATAAATATATGTATAATATATGCAACGACAAGTTTCATACATATGTAATATTATAAAAAACATCATCATCATCATCAGCACAAAGCTGATTTGTGACGATGATTTTAAAACTTCCTGCAAGCGAACCGGCCATAATGTATTTCCTTGACGATCAGATTTAATAATTGATTCTCTCTATCTCTTTCCTAGACATGTACTACCAAACACACGCGTGCACGCGCACACGCAAAAATACGCAGACTGGTGTATTAATTTGTAAACAACGCAAAAAGTAACACCCAACGAGAAGTTGAAAATCCGCGCTCAATACCAATTAATCAGCTAGTTACGCCTGATTACGACATTCAACTCACTTGCATTCTGTAATGCTAATGTGTGTAAAGCTAGGCGTCATCAATTTTTTTATCTCAAAATTATTTCCTTGGCTGTTGGAATGCTACTTGCTATTACCGTTTTATAAATGATTAGCTGTGGAATATGCACCGCCACCAAGTGCCATAAGTATGGTTATTGAAAAACAACAAAAATGATGGCAGTCATTTTAAAACATACTTTGTTACATCTGTAACTCAAATGTTATACTTGGGGAAAAAAAATAATAATTTTTTTCAGATGATAACATTTGATGAGGTTCCTTAGGTATCTATGAAGTAAAATACAAAATTGGGCCCTTGGGATATGATTTGATTAGTGCGGTGATTTTTAGGCCCTTACAAGACCTCGGATTTACGTGCATACTCATACAAATACAAAGTTTAAATGACCCTACACTTATGGACAAAAAAAATGAAAACTGATTCACCCTTACATGGAATTAAAATATACAACATGCTGTTATAGCAGTACTGTAAGGAAACAATGTAAACTACTGTTTCTTGTTACAAAAGAATTGAAAAAAAAATTTTTTTTTAATAGAAATTCAATTAGTTAATAAAAAAAGAATGACGATTTGTTCTTACATGTATACTTTAACTAATGACCAGTCAATTAAATTGTGAAGAAATAGGAGATAAAATGGTGTTTGTGTAGTAATCAATCACATGATACTATTAAAAAAAAGTAATTTTTTGCCATCAACAAAGATTGTGAAATATTTACAAGGATAGTTATTATTGTTTTTATTTTAATTATTATTTCCATTAATAATATTATTATTTTTATTTTTATCATTACTATTAAAAAGAAATTATTATTTCAACAATAATATTTCTAATAAGGGTCATGGATTTCATGGTGCAATCGTCAAGAAGCAAATTAATAGTGCAACAAGTTTGTTCATAATCACTGTACGTATAAATGAAGATTCTGCTTTCTCTAATAATTTAATAAGATCTTTCAAAAATACCGCCATACTACGAATAAGCTTAGGTATAGTATATTCCTTTTTTGAAGAAAGTCTATCGTTATAATTTTAGCAACTCAACTTAATGAAAAAACGTTTTATAGCTTAAATGTAATACGTTTATTTAAATAATCAACGGTCGCCCTCTATTCATCATTAAAAGAACGTAACATTTTTTTCTTCAACAAGAAAAATTAAAAAAAAAAAATTAAATTTTCGTGGAATAAACAGCCACCTTAGTTTTGGATAAACAATTAGCTACTTTGAAAAATGTTAGATTCTCAATTTGTTTGGCTGATCTTCTATACATGCTTTTCAAACTTATGATTATGAAAGCCACTCATTCTTTTTTTGAGACAACCAAAGTTTTAAAAACTATATTTGTGTAAAAATTTTCCCGAGTTTTCGTAATACACACGACTAATAAGAAAATATAATTACTATCTCGGTAATAATGACCATAAAATATATATTCTAGTGAAACGAGCGATGCTAAACATTTAAAACAAAATTGTTTAGAGTATTTTCGATACTTAATGAATGAAGCATATATTTTCGATTCGTTGATATACTCGGACTTACGTACACGTTTACCAGAATGACACAATCCAAATGTGCGAACTGACATTGACATTTACATTAATTTCCCTATAATAAGTATGCTTTTCGAGGTATCTCAGTGTCAGTGAGATTATACTGGCCATCACGCGCACACAAAATTAGAAATAAATTCCCAGCGTAATTAGACTTTTCTTTGTGCGGTGTAGTCTTTTTTCTACTCGCGACTTTCTGTCTTCGCGCAGTAAATTGTATAGCTGGCTCTCGACGCATCGCTGAATTTCTCGGACGTCCGTGATAAAAGCCACCGTCGATGCGGCCATAGCGAACGCTATGGCTGCTGTTCTATTTGCGGATTTAGATTTTGCTTATGAGATTGGTAATGATCAGTGATAAATATTAATAGACACTTTTTTATTTTTTGCAATGGATAAATTTGCCATTTGTGCAGTGAGAATTACTTAAACTTTTTATTTTAGTTTTCGTTTGAACTACAAAAAACAATTAATAATCTGCCCATTTATTTGAAAAAGTTCACTTTCACGCGAATTATACAACAGGAAGGTATCCTTCCTAATTTAAAGTCTTATTTACGATGTAACATTTTAATAATATCATGAAAATTGTGCAATATAAATTGAATCGTTGGCTTCTAATTAGATTTTTTTTACCCACAATATTTTTATGGCTGTCTATTTTTTTTTAGGTATACCAATATCAAATAAACTTTATTTTACAGCTTTGCTCAACATTAAGTTGCATATCTTTTTAATAGTTAAACTAAAGCTGCAAAAATTTAGGTTTACAAAATCATAAACAAGACGAGTGAAAGGACAAGTGCGATGGAATGAAGTTCACCTTACTATCGGCTTTAAGAAATACACGCGCGCGTACACGCCCGCCTGTAATTCTCTTCGCAACTTAAATACGTTATTATTGGTGTCTTTTTTTTTCTTATCAATTCTAATAGTATTTTTCAAAACACAGCTTTTAATTGGCGCATGCATAGATAACATGAATGGTTTTAAAAGTTTTACAACACGATGACCATGTCAGTCAAACTTATAAAAATTATTAAAACGATAAGTAGGTGTTTATTTTAGTTAAAAGGAAATAAGAATATCGCGAATATTCACTAATTCCTACAATTTTTGTTACTCGGTATTAACTTTTATTTTTATTGGTAAATTTTTTTTTTTTTTTTTTACCAATAAAGTGTCTGTAATCATGTTGAATAATTGAAGAAATCAACTAAGTTTCAAAATGTAATCAAAACGTTTTACGTATACGTTGTTAAACGGCTTCTCAGAAAGCTAAATTAGCATAATCGTAAGGAAAGAGCAATTATTTTTGTCAAACAATAGGTAGCCATGCGCAAAAAAACCATTTATTTTTCATTATTATATTAAAAATTGCTCGAATAATTACGATTGCCTCCACTCTTGCTACAAAAACAATTTTAACGATTCACAACTAGGTACACTTGGAGTATATTTTATAAATCGTAGATAAAAACAACGCGTCAGCAGGTTCTCATTTACATATACATTACAAGTCTACAACGATATCTTACATTAGGCAGGGGCCCACTACTATCCGCCTCACAAACGAAATTCTTTATGATCCATCGAAGTGAAATGAGCGGAACAATTACAATCACTTTCTGCCCAGTGCATCAATAACTCGAACGTGAATGTTTTTACGAGTTATAATTTAAATTTATATACCGGTTTGCCCGATAAAACTCGCGCATCCTTCATTTTTTGGGCTGCAGATATTGTGTATTTGAGAAAAAAGAAAAAAAAATGAATAGCAACGATTGTAGCAACAATGACCCCCTATCCGGGTATCTCGCAGGCCAAAGCAGCGATGGCACCTGCAGCACTCACCTATGAGATCCCTGATCCAAGATATCGTCTCGTTCGCCCGCCCGCCTCCCGAATTTGCTTGTCTTAATAAAACAAAGGGCTGGAAGCCCCAATCAACTTTTCGACCGGCAGAAAGCCTTCAGGGCTGTCGTGCGTGGGGATGCCAGTCGAGATACGCGAAAGCTGTGCTGAGCAGCTCTAACGCCGATGGACCACCTACTGGCTGGCTGGCTGGCTGACTGACTGGCTATCTAACTGAACGAGCGCTCGGTGGCGGGTTCTCTCTTGCGATCCGTCACACGCTTCCCCACGCGCACACGTACGTCAATCTCCAGGTGCCTTTTTGCGGCTACTACTGCTGCTTTTACTGCTACTGAGGTGTTGTCCGGTTGGTTACTGCTAACCAAACAAGATCCGAATGCACGCGAGCCCCGACACTCTGATACTTAATGAAATACTGGCAAACTTCCCGAGGCAACGGTCACATTTAAAGTTTCGTCGACTACGCGAAATCCAGAGGTAGGGATCATTGTCACACTCGTGTATAGATCTGTGGATCCATTGAGCAGCTCTCAACTTCGTCATCGGCGTCCAGTCCTCGCTTCCCGTGCTTTAATTTTTTTCCTCTCCTCGTTCACCCTCGTCTCTCTTACGCACAAATTTGTATGCGTGGCTTGGTTTCGTCGAACGTTACCCTAACGATGGAGCTTTTTATCGGCATTGTGTCCTGTAAGTCGTTCATGCGGATAAACAACATTCATCGAGTGAAACAAAAAATTGTAAGCATAACCATATGAATTTAAAGAGAATTTTTTTATAAATATGAAAGACGTGTATATAGGTGTAAGCAAGATTATTATGTACGCAAGATTAGTATGACGATTTGAGTAGATGTTGCACTTGGCTCACCAAGATGTCAGATCAATTTAAAAATCCTTAATTCAAGCGTTTAATAATACTTACCTACCTACCTGGCCGAAGACATTAAAGACATTTTTTTGCACAATTGAAGCAATTCTTTGAAAGAAGCAGAATATTATTCGATGCTCAAGTATGATTAGACAATTTCGAGGTAAAAGTGGGAAAAAGATAATTTTTAAAGAGATTATCAGGAGGCTCGATGGTTTGCAAGAATCCAGTAATTTTATTATAATTATAGTAATTTATTTTTTGAAATTTGAATGTTATAAAATATTACTGAAGAAAATAATCCGAACAAAGATGCAAAAGTGGAAAAGAAATGGTACATAATACCTTTAAATTATAAATACGTGTGGTAGTGACGTTACGAAAGAAGTGTCACGCGTATACATTTTTAATCTGGTAATGTGACATCGAGCTTCAAAAAGAAATAGGTTTTATCAAAATCAAGCTAAATAATTTATTTTGCAAGTAAGCAAGCAAGCAGTATGAATCATTGAAAGCAAACAATGGTAGGCGTTTAAAACGATAAAGAGGAAATCGACTTGTACTCAAACACGTCAAAGGTACTACAGTTTTTCTAAATTCTGTTGATGAAGGAACGACAAATTAACTGATAACCTTGCTCTGCTTTGCTCGCCGCATTTCTTCCCGTGTATTTGCTAACCAGACAATCTTTCGTCACTCCATGCCATCTTTAGCTTCTTTGTCATCTTCTTTCTCTGTCTCTTATTTTGATCTGAGACTCATTATACGTAAAAAGTACTTTTAGAAATGATTACACTATAATAGTTCTAGCATTTGTCTGTGGTCACACATACTTACCCACACACGCTAACACATTCTTTTCGCACTGAAACTCACTCGTTGTATAAAACTTCACTTTGAAAATTGAATTGAAAAATTTGTTACATGCGTTTTAAATAAAAATTTGGTTTTGAATAAATACTTGCAATACACGTGTATATTAGAATTTTATGTTAACATCTATCAAAAAATAACTGTTTATACATGTCGTTACTATATTAATTTTAATCAATTCATTTCAAGGATTTTATATTTATTATTTTCGTAATGTCATATACTTCATAGACTTCTTTTCTTCGAAGAATGGATTTTTTTTTTTTTTTAGAAAATGAACTGAATACAAAATTTTTAGAAAATTAATGAAACTATAATTTTTTTGCTTTAATCTAAGAGGTGAGTATTTTGCACACGAATTAGGAAAAGATCCAGAATTTACACGGTTAAACCGCCAAAATTTTATATGGGAAAATTGAAAAGTAGGTTAGACGAAGAATTTTCAAAAATCATATCCTAGACTTATAAAGTTACAATACTGTACTTTAAAGGGAGAAAACTGTACTTACGAACCCTAAAAATCACAATAATAGTTCTTAATTGCCGATAGGAGAAACGCTACTTCTCGCCAGCTAGTCATTAAATTTAATGTACGAAAATAAAATTAGAATTTTGTGCAAATAAGCTTCTCTATCCATTTGGTTCGACGGATCTATCACTTGGACACTTTTTTATAAATATTTTCTATAAAGTGAAAGTGATGAATATAAAAAAATGTTTAAGTTAACGAGTATTTTATCATAGTTAACAAAAATTAGAAAATTCAAACTACCGTAATCTTACGCATATCTACAGTCATTTGAGTAGGTGTTAAAAATGAGATTTTATTGAAAACTACAAATGCAATGTTCTTAAAATTTCGGTTCGTTATTTTTTACTATACCATGTTGTCAAATAAAAATTTTTAATTAAAATAATTTATACTCTATACCCTCTAATACTTATGACAGAATACAAGTTTTACGACTAAAAAATTTTTCTTACACAAATAAAACTTAGTTTGAATTGTTTTTTTTGGAATATCTACTTGTGTAGGATTTATAATATCTACATACAAATTTAGAGTTCTGTTTACTGCTAAATTGTCATTTTACTTTTGGATGATATAAAAACTGATGTAGCAGAAATCACTAAGAATATACAGATGAACATCACATGGTTAAAGTTTTTTTGTAGTACAAAGTAATTTGAAAAATAGTCGTCAAAAGCTTAGTGATTTTAGTTCTATTAAAATTTCATGACAAATAGAGAGCCGATTATTGGTTCTTTAGAGTTCTCAGCATTTTCGCGTCTTAATTCACTTCTGACGGAATACTTAAAAATTTTCGCATGCTCATTATCTACCGAGTGGAATAATCCTTTACCAGCCATTGCTTCCAACACACGATTTATTATGTTTTTGCCAATGTTACTTATTTTTTTTGTTTTAAAACAATTTATTTCTTCAGTTACAACGAAATTTAAAGTAACTCAATAATAATCAAGAAGATTGAGGGTACCATATATTTTTGAATTTTTATTACAATAAGAGTGGATTGCTTGTAATGGACATTTCCGAAGAAGATCCATAAAGTGCCATAAAACTTTTATACTGCTTAACATGTATAAAAATGTATTATTTTCTTATTGTATTCAACCCGCGAAACATACACGAAACTTTCCAAATTACAATTTTAATTTATACGACATTTGTGTTTGAATTGATGCTGAAATCGTGATGACGTGTTACAAAAAAATTACAATTTTAAATAACTGATGTCATTATTCAAGCGAAATATGTACTAACCATTACAGGTGTAATTTGTGTAAAATTTTTACTTTGTACAACGAAACGTAAAAATACGTCTTGAAAAAATGAATATCAAGCGCGGAATAAAACTAAATTCAATTGACCCCTCATAACTACATCATTAATTTTTGTAATGATTCGCGAGCTAACTTTTTAAGTTGACAAGTCGTTTTGAGATGAGATATTTTAACTTTTAAGTAACTCTTGAAACAAATTTTCACTACATGACACAGTATGTATACTTAGCTCATTACCATTGCTACTTACAGTGCAGAAATCGCACAATATATTCAAAGTTGCATGAATGGCACACCAACTAAGCTTGATATACACAAAGGTAAAAACTTGCACAAGTATTTCGAACTATATGGAAAACGTCGTCAACTTGACAGTTCTTTTTAGCGCCACTGACCCTACTGTCCTTGCAAACTCGGGGTAATGAAAAAGTGAAAGAAAGGCCAAGTGAAATGAAAATCAACCAGTAAAGTGCTCGTCACATGTCCTTGGACGGGAATTTGTACCTACGGCTGTAGCAAACAGTTGCTTCGATGTACGCGCGCACCTCCGATAAAAAGGAAAGGCACGAGAGAAGAGCTGCAAGTATTGAGAGTAAGTAATACAGTTAATTGCAACAGGCATGCATTACTTTACTACTACGCCTTTTCACTGTTTTCATAAATCTACTCAGCAGCCCATTCCGCTTGATTATTTCGTAATCACTGATAATACCCAGTGACGGTACGCGTGATAGAAGCAGTTGGTCAACCGTTGAACTTAATAAGCATACAATTTTTAACATGCTCAGTACCTGTAACACATGTATATATTCATTCCATATATGGTGGTTATCGAAGGGCCAAACTGTAAAATGTACTTTTCGAAGTATGAAAAATTCGATTTTTATAGGGCGTAGATATACATAATTGTTTTCAAAGAATATGCAAGGCAATATACGTCATATGGCTTTGGAGTCAGTTAGTGGTTGTGGAATAAAAATTAAGGAGTGTTGAGGGGTGAAATTTCCTTTTTTTTATAAAATCGAAGCAGAATATTGGGCTTGTATTCACCTTTTTTTTACTGCTTCGATGATTTATCAACATCTCTTGGAATTTTCGATTCGGAGAAGGTAAGCAAATTATTTTACTCAGAATGTGTCACAACGTAACAATAATGAAAATAAAATGAAAAGTGTACTTTTTCGAAATCTGCATTTTTTAAAACTTTGCATGAACTTAAAATGTCTAATTTTTCAGTTATACGAAAAAAACTAATAGTTATTAAAGCCTCACAGTTGTAGATTTTTTTTTGTTTTGGTGAGAATATGAGGCACTTCTGTGAAACAATAAGGTCCAAAAACAGTAAAATGAGAATGGTGAAACGAGAAAAATCATGCTATTTTTCTCAGACTTGATGTATTATTACTACTTGGAATTTATTTATTGCTTTTGATTACTCACTCGTCTTATTTGAAAATAAATTCTTCCGTGGGGTCATCAACCAATTTTTTTGTTCACAACGTCATTTTTCAAATGGTGATAATCACTATAATTTTAATATCTGCAAAAAAATACTATACCTTTTGCTCCGTTTTTTATTTTTATTTTTTTATTATTTTATAAGAAATAAAATCAGTATGAAATTCAGAGGAAAGTTTATTGAACCATATCTTTGTCATGATTTGACTCCTCTCTCACCTGTAACTCGTTAAATACAAAGTTATGATACTTTTTTATTTCTTTTTTGCTGTTGCAAAATCATTTCAGCATCCTGCAAGTCTTGATGACCCTTACAATGATGTATGATTTCTTTCATTTTTTTTAACACAAAAAAACTAATTCTAAATAAAACGCTCTGTACGTGACAGAAGCTGCTGTTTGTTTACCATAGGTACGGATACATCATATATATATATATATATATATATAGATGATGGTGCTCTCGCCGCCTGTTCGCATATATATACACGTATATATAGATGTATACTCACAGCAGTGATACCAACTAACAGAATAGTTTTCGGGTTGGTACCAGTGCTCGCTGGAGCCCCCTTAAAGAGCCAAAGTGTCGAATGATTGAAAAATTCAAGCTAATTATAAGTGCCTACTTAAGTATCGAGACGCAAAAATTTGATGGCAGGATACATGTTTAAAATATAAAAAGTTAGTTGGCACGCCCTCGTCTAATTGAATAAGTGTTATATTTATGTTTTTATATAATCAATGACCATATGAGCAAAAAAAAGAGTTAATCGCAAAACGTGATGAATAAAATAAAAAAAATAAAAAGAAGAAGGAAGGGGAATTGATAAGAAAAGTCGAAGTCAATATTTTGTGTTATATAGGAACAATAAAAACAGATTTTGAAAGAAATTTTGCGCAAGTTTAGATACTACGATCGCAGATCACGGTTTGATGTACAAAGAGGAGAAAGAGTCAACGAACCTCAGCACAGGCTAGAAAATGGAGGGGAAATATGAGAGAGAATATTGACGAAAGGGTGCGTTCGATTTGTATCGTTGGTCGCTTTAGTTTAGTATACCTATATAAGTACACACCACTACTTGGTCCACGGATACACTGTATAGTATGTGGGAGAAACCGAACGAGGAGCGAACCAATGATGCAGATTGCACGCAACCATTGTTGTGTAGGGGTTGTACATAGAGATCAGAAAAGACGTCGCCATGTTGTTTCCAAACATTACCCTGGAGGTATGTGTATATTGTGTACCGTGTTCTAAATGTCTACCTTCTCCCTTGCACTCACGCGTCAACCAGCCTCGCGATTGGTTGAAACGAAACGGCCTTAGCCAATCAAAAGTTGACTGTGCTGTTTCCAATCACTCGTTGTAAGATCGCTATAGAAAAATACATGAAGCGAGAGAAAGACGGGGCGAGCGCTGGTTCGACTGGACTGCATACACTGTATACCCTGCGGACAACAGTCCTCCTCTGCACTCTGCCTTCCGTAGGTCGCTTATTATTTTACTTATTTAAAAAGTTTAATCCACCTTAGCCCCTGTTTTTTTTTGTATTTAATTTAAAAAGAAAAGGAAACATAAAGAGCCGCGCGTTTAGATAAAATAGCAGCGTATAAAGATGCAACAAAATATCAAGTAAAGCTGCATATATTTTTACACGCTCGTCGCTTTTGGTATAAGTTTCGACGAAATCAGCTGTGCAGAATTGGATCCGACCGAGTCAGTTGCTACTACTGCTATACTGCCACTATCATAAATCACAAGAACGCTACTGAGAAAGCGATCATCATAGAAGATCGGAATTGATTCCTACGACTCGTACTTACGCGTCACTGTTAGGTTTTTATTTGATTTTTTTTTTTAATTTTTTTTTTTGACATGTCACTACTCTCCGAGTGCTATCGCCGACTCTCCAACAGTTCAACATCGAACCAACAACCGGTATGAACATTCACTCTTTATTAGATGTATCTGCATAGTCATACAGTGACCTATATAATTTAACGTTGATCGTATTAAAATATTGACAGCCCGACCGACTCACTAGTGGTATGGCTTTTTTTTTGTTGAATTTAGCAATGTATGAAATTGCAATACTTACTTGCGCGAGGCGTATATGTATACCACTACCTACCTTTGTAGGTCTTACTGATTCATGCTTGTTTGACATGTAAATATTTTAAATTACTTTACGATGACTGCAGTTTACATGCATAATTATACATATTCTATGGATAAGTACGTAATAAACGTAAAAAAAGCAAGGAATTCCGACTTTGCCTGAATTCGACAAAAACTTGAATGATTCCGATTGGAATGCGAATGATATATTGAATGAAAGCGATAATTGACCGAAGACCGTACACGGTAAGTAATATCGAGAATAAAGTGTGATTATGTGACATGACTTACCTGCGGTATCATTTGCTGAAATAAAGGCAATTGGAATGCACAAGTGAGCAAAGAGCAGTGTGAAGCACTGAACTATCATGAACAACCTATATGATCCTAGTATGGTGATTAAAGCTACACAAAACTTATTTCAGCTAAAAGGCTACAAGGTGACGGATGTGAACCGAACGAGAAAAATCGGAGTCGCGTGCCGCAGCCTGTACGAGCTCAAACAAAAAGCATGCGCTAAATTCAACGTGAGTAGTAAATTATTTCTTATAATGTTGCTCTACGTTAGATGAAGTACAAGATTTTCCTCGATTTTCTTTGCATATGTTGTAATAATTTTATTGCAAAGCTGTTTTCTTTGATATTTTAAAACATATAAGTAGGATGAGTATGATTTTTCTTTGATGACACTAAGGTCCAAACGTCAATCATTCAAGTAAAGAGATAGAATTACTAAAACAAGCTTTTTAAATTTTAATACAAGATGTTTTTCTGCGTGAGCTCGAAAACTCGGAAGTGGAATATAATTCTTCTCAGATTGTCCCAATAAAAGCAACAGTTAAAAAGTTGTACCAATAGTCAAACAAACTCTCAATTAATATGGTATTATTATGACGTACGGGTTATATGTATATTTGTTTATAAGATTAAAAACCTTCCTATGGATAATATCGCAGTATCTTTATGCCTCAAGCAACCATAAATGAAACTTTTTTTTGTTTGTTAAATGTGTATTCTTAAATGTGATATTTTTACAAGTAAATCAAGCTATTTAAGTACTATCATTGTTTTCCATGCTGATTCATAAAATTTGGACAAGTAGAATTTTAGTCGTAAATACTTTTCATAAACAACTGTTAGTCATTCGATTTCTGTAGATGTTCCACTTGAGGACATTTTACTTAAGCTTATGGTCACTCGGCCTGGATAGATTCGCATGGCTCTATCGAACGGTTGGAATAAATGGAACAGGACAAAAAAAAAACGGTGTTGGCAACGAATTGGGCCAGGGTCATGTGACTGTAGGTACACACACACCGTCACTGTTACCCGGTCTCCATCCTCGGCTGGGAGGCATGGCTCCTCTATAGACGTATTGTATCCACAGCCCCGATTTGACTCAATGTCAGGGTCACACTGCGCATGTGCCCATCTCTTGCTATAATCTAGCAACCCCTACCCCCTTCCTGTGCTGCTCTTCCCCATCTATGGATGTTAAGTATGCGTACCTACTTCGATCACGACTAGGTACCTGCTTTCCTTCCCTTAGCGCTCGATCCGATGGTATCGGTAAAATTGCATGTGCGATTTACTGGCGAATGCTTAATCGCGATAATTAGTACAATATTCAGGAGCAATTAATCAATCTTTACAAATAGTTTAAAAAGAAAATAGATCCCACAAGTAGGTACGTAATAATTGAAAAAATTAAATTAAAAAAAATTTAGTTTACTTGAAATTTGATAATGAAAAGTATCATTGAGATTGTTTTACCATAAAACTTTCTATTAGCAATATGAAGCGTTACCCTTATCGATTCACAATAAACCATGGATGTTCAATAATGCAAGAAATACTATTTTTAAGAATAGAACAATGCCGTGTTATTCACACTAGAAGCAGGTGTAGCTTTTTCTACCATTGAGATGGGATCGGTTATTGGAAATAAAATTGTCAAGGTTTATCCTACAAGATAAAAATAACTGAATGCGTGGCGTTTTAGGTCACAAATGATTTATCGGAGATTGAAATTTACCTGCTGGACGGATCGGAAATAGATGAAGACTACTTTACAACACTGGAACCCCAAACAACCTTGATTTTTCGCAGACCGGGTGAAAAGCTTTTGACCGGTAACGCATAGTAAAATTTTGTTCAACCTCACACCAACACATGTTATTCGTTTGTTAATGACTTGTTTGTTTTTATTTTAATCATCGAGCGAAAATAAAGGACTCCTCTTCCTCGCTGTCGCTAAAATAAAAAATAAAACCCACGCACGTACCATGCATTTGTTGTTGTTATATTCTGGCATGAAATATTGTCACTGTAACAGAGGCGGATGTGCTTTACCAGATGCTGAGGCGGGTGAACGAGAGTTTCTTCCAGAAAGGACAGAGAGCCGAGGAATTACTCACGGTTAAGTTCAAAGACAAAATTTCTCTGCTGAATGAGATGCTCAACAGTGACGACTCAAAGACGATGCTCACCAGCCCCGAGGAGCACCCCGAATGGTTCGACGGCTTGGAGACCCGCGCCCGGACTAAGGTTCGTCCAGTCGAATTTCTTTTTTGTCATTTTAACGATTGAACGAACGTAATTATGTATCACCTCCATGCCCATCAGGGCTCGCATTACTTTATTTTAACGAGTAATTTTTTACCTTGAACTTGAACAATCTATTTGATGCTGTATAGCACGCCAATGAGGCTACACATGTGAGTTCTAGTGCTACTGTAGCATAATATTGTGTTTGGCAGCTTAAAAAGTACGAAAAAAAGGAGGATCTAGTAGAAAATTTTATTCCTTTTTTTGTTTTTACCAATCTCCAAACCTATACATTAATTTACCAACTTTTTCGAGCAACGTTGATACATATATATACATATATGGGTCATCTAATTTCAGCCAAAATTATTTTCCAATTTTTTTTAAAGAGAGGTTTATTTGTGTGCAGTCAGAACATTAAATTTTATTTTTTACGGGTGGATAACTAAATGGTACCTACACAAAAATACACGTTTAGTTAATTCTACAGTGAAAAAATCTTTGCAAGCCTTCTTTATACCATTTTTTTTCTTTTTTGCACATTTTTTGACTACACCTAGATAAAACCTCTGTTCCGAAAGCATCTATGACAGCCCGTAGTAGATTTAGCGAGGTACCTTTGATGGAGCCTCGAGACTTCGAGAAAAATTTTAGGAAAAGCGCCTATTTATTCATCGACATTATTACAATACATTATTCAAATGAAAGCTCTTGTTTTTAAATTAACATTATTGTTTGTTGAACAAAACAAAAGGCTTTAGCGTAATGCGAGTTAAAGTTTCGGATATTCTATGTCGCAAAGTGTAAAATATTAGTGAAAAGTTTATAATGAAAAAATATAAATAAACCAATTATATAGTAAATAAAAATAATAATAATCATTTAGGAAGCATACCTGCATCGTCGCTGTCAAGACAGAATCAGGGGTTACCTTTATAAGATGATCGAGCAGGTTCGGTTATCCGACGAGTACAATCGTAACTCAGTTGCGCGCAAGCAGCTCCAAAGTGCTATCGCCTTCTTCAAGCTACAACTCAAGAAGGACCACTACTTTGGGTTCTACTTCGACCGCAGCTACGCGATCACAGCCGGAGATGATGAGATCGACAGCTCCGAGAAAACAATTGACTGCACATACGAACACTGTCCCTGCAAAATGAGCATTTCGTCGTATGAAAGGTGAGCTCAAGTAAATCCTCCAGTACATAAAGTCGTGCAGAAATTTCCCCTTTATTTCGAAATATATAATCACTATCATGATTTTATTAATATTAAAAAGAAATAATGAATGCCAGTAGTACAGTTGTAATAATAATAACAATAAAAATGATAAAAATAGTAATAAAGTGTAGCTGATTTTAATATTAATGACTAATTACAAATGGTTTGATGGTTATAAATTTTCAGGTATATCTTAGGTCTGACAGACGATGATATAGAGAAATCTGATGACAAGGTCGATGACGCCGAGGATACCGATAGCGATGAAGTCGACGCAAAAAAATTGAAAATGTCACCTCAAAAAGAAGCTTGCGGAGGATTCCTGACCACTTCGGACAGAGAAGAGCTTCAAAAAGCAGAAGCTCAGTGTAAATACAAAATTGTAATGAGGCACAGAAAGGATATGAAAGCCCTTTGTGACGAAAGGGGTGAATTCAGGTGCAATGGAGTCTGGAATCGTGACGTGTGTTTGTTTACCGACAAGCACCGAATCAATCCCTACAGGTCCAAGGAGGAGCTCATTCTCTTCTCCACCTGGAACCTTGATCACAAGTTAGACTGCAACTTTTTTGAATCATTTGTTTATTTCTTTTTATTCCTATTTCGTTTTTAAAATTAAACCTTGATACTGTTTAACAATCATTTCACTTGTATTATTGTAATGATGCATAATATTATTGCTAACTAACAACCTTATGATTGCATTAGTTTAATGGGATTAAAATTTTTTCAGGATCGAACGTTCCAGAACAATAGTGCCACAGTTATTAGAGGCCTCGCGAAACGACGAACTCTTCGAAGACAAAGTCATTGAGTTTTACAATAATCTTTTCACGGTGAAAAATTTGAAGCTCGTGCACATCGTGTGTCATGATAAAGGTTCACATAAATAAACTTGCGGTAGCGGCAGTACTGAAATAATACATATTATTGTTGTATACAATACGTACAGACCCGTGCAATTTATGTTTGTACATACCTGTACATTATGTTTAATGTCTTACCATCTGAAGAAAAATGAAAAATATTGCACTATATTTTATTACGAGCAAACCAGCGTGGGTGAAAAAATGCGCATAAAATAAAAGCAATTTTCGAAAATATTTATGACGGAATGAGAAAATAATGGTACAGATACCATAAGTTAAATGCGTATTTATTCACGGATACTTGTTTAGGCACATAGTTTTTATTATATTGTGCCGATATCCGCAATTTATAGTTTATAAAGAGTGACAGTTAAATGTTAAAATATCTCATCGAGTATATGGATTGTTGATTCTATACACTATCTGCACATCTGTGCATACATACATACGTGTATCTTTCGCAACGCATTAATTGGCTAACGGAGTTTTTGATGATTTTTTTTTTTTATCTGATGGGCCAGTTGCAATTTTTCACTGTGATTAATTTATCTTGTGGTATTTGTACACAAGAATTTTTTGTAACTAAAAATCGAGAGTAAAAGGAGGACGAGATAGTTTTTAGTAGGCGAAGTACCTAATTTATAATTTTAAACTTTCACTCTATGCTTTTGGTGAATTTTTTACTACATATAAATTTTCGTTTGTGCTTGATCTTCTTCTTAGCTAAGAGGATTGGTCGGTAAAATAATTGGTTCGTTCGATTAAATACAAACACACTATGGACGGTTGATACACCAATAACCCTATAAACGAGCGTGACATGATATCTCTAACACGCTCTTTTATCTCCAGTCCATCCTTATTTTACTCATTAAAAAAATGTTCGATAAACTTGGTGTATCATGTTTAACAGGGTAACAGACAACTCCTAGAAACATATTTTGTGATGGATGGCGATAACGAGTTTGATTGACCATGTACAGGACCGATGTTGAGATACTTGAGTTGGATTGCTTTTATGATCAGAGCCATGGCTATTTTACAATCATTCAGGAACGGAGGTTTTAATGTAGCATTGTTGAGTGCGTAATTTTTATGCGTTGTTGGGATTAAACTCACGCACACCGTCCAAATTGCACTGATGATAATAGTAAAGATGTTATGACATTAAACTATGGTATGAAATACTTTTGAGAAGTTGGAAAACTAAAAAAAAGAAAAATGATAAAACCATAAGCGAAGGCATAGTATTATATTTTTATTCTGTGTTTGCACGTTTAAAACTTATCAATTCTATAAATATTTTACAATATGGCAAACCTGAAAGAACTTATTAGTGCCAAAAGCAACAAAATTATGTAATGCTGAAATACTGAAAAAAAAATCATTTAAATTGAGTAAATGATACTACGAATCGATTTTAAATATATGCTACATGATTTTAAAGAAATGTATGTGTTGATGAGTCAAAGTATTCCTATCGATTCACAAAAAACGTACATACTTTCTAATTCATCACGTTTCATTGCATTTAAATCAGAGCAATAACAATGAAAATGAGGTGGAATAATTAAAATGCCTTAATATTCGTTCAAAGCTAAATTCGACTATGCGGTACTCATATATTTTAGTATTGGAGTAAAGACATATACTAAAAAAATGGATAACAGAGAACAAATGTACAGCATTGCTATGATTCATAAATAAGAACTGTTACGTGCACCGTGATATATTTAGTGCCAGTATTTGGGAATTACTTTATATATTCCGATAAATGAAAATATGGTCATATTCTATACCCATAATTTTGTCACTACATAAAATGTACTTTACATTCGATCAGGAGCACACTTTAATTTTCATCATCTAGGTGTGTAACATACTGTTTTTGCCCTTATTGCGGTTTACATATGGAAAAGAAAAAAAAATGTAATTAAAACAGAAATTTTAACGATGTTACTATATATTTATTTATAAAAACATGCGTAGATTAGTAAATAAGAGGCTGATATCAAAACCTGCGTGATTGACTAAACAAATCGTACGTTTTCAAAGGTTATACTATAATTATGGTGTCAACTGTAACGAAGTGCATTGTAAGACTAGTACATTTTGCGTGAAGGCAAGACATATATTTTATGAAAAAGTGTTATAACGGAGACAAGATCGATATTTTTTGATGGATATGTACCTAAACTATGAAGGACCGACGTAGTTATGTTTTAAATGTAGAGATCAAAATAATTTATTTTTTGGTACGTTTACTTTGTTGTAGACGGTGTTTTCGTGAAAAACTGTAAAATTAAATTAATAAGTATTTTTTTATAAAACTTGCAATTACAAATTGTTCTCTTTACATGTGCTTTTGTAAAGAAAGATGTCGTAAAAAATAATAAAGCAAGCATTCATCCTAAGAAATTGATACAAATAATAATAACCAATCGACATAACTCATCGGTAATAGAATAACAATACCATATAAATTTAAAAAGTATAAAAATAATGGCAACAAGTTTGCATACTTGTACATTTGCATTCATGTGAATGACATTTTAGTTTTTGGTTGTTGTAATTACGACACGATAGAAATTATTTCTATATTTATTTTAATATCACGCGTTATGTAAATTCATGTGATAGCTTGTAAAAGCCAATGAGTTGAAAACTAATAAAGAAAACATAAATGTTAAAATATTCTATTTTGTTAGCTCCTGTCCGTACAGAATATACAATTTTCATACATCAACGTCAAGATTGATGACTCTTTGATTTCCGAAAATTGTTTCAATTTTAGACCACGGCTCTCCGTAAGGATACAAGAAACCACATAGTGCTTAAGTACGTATTCATAAGAAATTTTATTTAATTACTATTTCCATTACATTATCCTATTTTTGCAAATTTTTTTAGAAGTATCCGAGTATTGAATAATTCTTTTTAAATATTTAAAGTATTTCACATAAAATTTTAATTTTAATCTAGTAAAAAAAGATACTGCCCGTGTATTTTATTAATTTAAGTATGTGATAATATCACTGACTGTTGTAATATTTTTTTAAGGTAATGAATATAGTAATAGCAGAAAAAAATATTAAAATATTTTATGGGATAGCAGTGAATTACATAAAATCATCAGAAGAGTAGTATATATAGTGGTATTAGGTAGCATAAACTATTTTGTAGCATATATAACATAAAGTGTTATGCATACCCCTTTGGCCCTACCTTTTCTCTGTATTTTAAGTATAGAAAAAAATTTACTCTATAAATTATTAAACGTGAAATTTTTTCAATTGTTTTTTTTCAGGCTTTCTGAGTTGGGAGATGAGACTCAATTTTTAGGGTCAGCTTTATTTTTATTTGTTACATCAATCATTGAATTTTATTATATAATTTACAAATAAAATCACAAATCCTCAACGAGGTGCAGGTACATTTCAATCGTAAAGCATACAGTTGCCGCTTGTCCACGTAGCGCCATCCAAAGCAGAGCTTTGTAGTTTGGAATTTTGTATTGATACCAGGAAAAAAAAAAATATTTTCAATCGTAATAGTGATAGCCTACACGAGTCCGAAATTTTATGATCAAAAAAGTTCAACTTGAACAACGTCCAATAATAAACATGAAATTACTTTTCACCTCATTTATCACAAATATAGTTTTTTCGATTTTTTTATCATCTATTACTTACGAAAATACAGGCGTTTCAAGTTTAAAAAGATGTATATGTCTTACGCGTTGTACAATTGATATTTTTTTACAAAAAAGAGATTTTACCTTTTTGAACGGTACATTAGAGGACGCCGCTTTTGGTTGTGCAAAACATCAAAAGTTTATTAAAAAACGAGATCATATCGTTGTTCAACCTATTTCTGTGTCGAAGAACGGGGAGGAATAAGGAAAAAAATAATTCAAGACTGGATTAAACTAACAACTTTAACGTTACTCAGAGGTTTGAATTCAAAAAGCTGAGATTTTCAATTATTAGCACTTAGTTTTCGTTCACTATAATAAAATTTTTCATCAGGATACAACATTCGGGTGAAAAAATTATAAGGTCATAAAAAACTATGTTAGAAAAAAATGTATCAAAAGATTTTTTTTACTGATTTTATACGTAAATTTTGCACAGTGATGTGTCATGACTTTATGAACAAGCCCCCTGAATTTCATTTCGTTTATACGACTTTTTAATCACTGCAGAGCCCCCTTTTTTAATTTAGGAATTTCAAATTTCATCAATCATAAAAGAACCCTATACATAGCGATAAATCTTTAAAGAATAAACTAACGTACCCAGAGTGAAATATATACATAATAAATAAAGTATGCGTTGAATGCGTTTTCCGCATCAAAGGGGCTTTGAGGTTTTCGGCATTATTTGTGACTACAAATATGAACTGTATACTCGTTTTAAAATAAAAAAAAAGAAGATATTTATCATGATTAACCACCGCTACAGATTCATACCTGTAGAGCGGCTCTGTTGGACCATACGCGAGCATTACATTCACGATTCCGAGTAACTTTTATTATACGCACTTACCAACTTTTACATGTAACTTGGCTGTTCAAGCAACTACGAGTGATAAATAAGTTGATCTCATAGTTGGTATGCAATTAAATTAATTTTGTTTTTCTTTGTTAGCTTGTAACATTATTATAGTTGGACCATCCCTATTACTATATTAGTAGAACAACTTTGTTATGGCTACTATGAACCCAGAGTCGATTTCCATCAAATGAATAAAAAATCTGTAGAGTTAATCTGTCTACCAACTCCTATCTTTCGATAAACGAGACGAGTACAGGTACAAGGCATTGTATTGGGAGGGTGTCCGTGTGTTCACGGCCAACTTATATTTATGCTGGGGTGCTATGTAGATCCACTGCTCGGCGGACCCTCTCGCACTGTCCGTCTCTTCAGTTCGCCTCGTCTGTATAATATATGTATACCTATGTACTTACCAATACCTATATATGTACGAATCTCGCTCAAGACACATCACTATGTGCACCCAACACATGCCCACTTGTAATGTGAGTGGGTCTAGACTGCACTAGCTGTGCATGGGTATACTTACCAATGTACCTACTTATGCATGTATATTAGCATTAACAAAGTGCAAAGGGACAATGATTGTTATGCTTGAGTTAGGGTTGTAAAGCGGCGAGTGCGCGCGCGCACCCGGTACCTATATAATCGCGCATTCGCGCTCGCGAGGGTAGGTATAGACGGAGGTATGGCAGCAGACTGAGCGCTTGCGGCGGCGGCGCAGCTATTCCAGCCAGCCACCATCTGATAGATATACACCAGAGCATTACATATGTACGTGTATACATGAGCCCGTGCCCCGTCATCGAGCTCCCGGCCGGCTCCAGCTCTGTTCTCTCCTCAGTGCTCTTTCGGGGCTCCGAGGCGGTGCATCGCCAAATTCAATCTATCGGTCTACTACCGTAACGTCGCGTCTCTTGTTCATACACCTCCATGTAAGTAGCAAATCCGAGCAAGTATAGCTACAGATGAATCTTACCTACACTCGCCCATCTCTTCTTTCGCTCTTCAAGTATATTTTTTCTTTTTTTCTTTCTTTTTTTTTTTTTTTTTCACCTTTTCGTCAATTTGGCTCATTACCCCCATACGAAGATCAATGGTAATGTAACCCGTACGAATAGGGAGGAAGATAGCCAAGTGGTAGTGCTCGTGTTAGCTGTGCAGCTTGATAAAAACCCGCCAAGTTGTGGCTTGGCTTTCATCTCCAAGGATAAATATCTCGCTGGAACGTCACACCCCCACTCGAGGAGGACAATATAATACGGCCGACTCAGATCCGGGAGAACCGAAAGACGTCGCGAGAGAGTGAAAAAAGTGTTGTTAGCAGTGTACAAAAAAAAAAAAAAACATTCACCCTGGGCTCGCTTGGGACGTGATATTACCGAGGAGCCCTTTCAACCCCAGCTCTGTTCGTTCGTTCGTTCGTACCTCCCTTTTTATTTTTATCAACTTTGATTATTCGAAGTATCTAAATCATTTTGTCATGTTGATGAGTATCGATGTACGTACTCGCGTTTCTTTGATTTGTGGGGGCAAAGGGATGATTTGACTGAGTGGTAGAAATACTCAATACGCACTGCCAACTGGAGAATCAAAAACATCAACAGACAACACGTGCAAGAAAGAGGGAAAGTGACCGGAAACCTGAGATACCGAGAAAATTCACTGACGGCTGTTGCAAAGGACCCGCATCGATACAGGTCAGTCTGTAGAAGAAAACATTTTATTTTGACAGTAGAAAAAAAAATTAATTTGCCCTGCTTCGATTACTTCTTTTGCCATTAGAAAAAGAGGTCTGATTGCAGTTTTCAAAACCTGTCGTCTGACTATGTAACATATTTTAATGTTTATATTATGGTTGCATTCAATCATTGCATGGAGTTTTAGTTCAGCGGGAGTGACACCCTGCGCTGGGTGCAAGAGTTACCAGCCGCTGTTTTTTTATATATAATACGTATACTTCGCGAGATTTCATTTATCTTGAAAGTTAAATAAATGTAATTTCAGCAGCCCATCACTTTATATTGTCATGTCACGATTTACTGAATTTATGTTTCGAACAGGTTACGCTTCCAATTCATACCTATATGTACTTTTACTTTTATCTACATCCCCAAAATAAACTTCTACTAACTTATATTTTGTATTATTCATGAAATTTTGAAAAAAATCATTGCAAGATTATTCATACCTATTTAGTTTTTTTTTTTTTTTTTTTTTTTTTTTTTTTTTTTTTTATCAGGACACAAAGCTTTGAAACAAAATAAACGTTACAAGCGGTTATGTGAAATTATACATTATAAATTTTCAAATAATTCGTTCACGCGGCATCTGCGCTGCTTTTTACACCAGTAGACACGAATCGTTTTCATACAATTTTGTTTAGATTAACAGTACAAGTCTACTTATGTTCCTCAATACATTCTAATTTTCGAAGTAGAAATTTTTTATATTTCCTTTTAGTCGTGTGTGAAAATAAGCGGAAAAATAAAATTATTGCACACAGAATTGCATCGAGTTTCGGACGATACGCGTTTGGATGACTTAAAATGTGAGACTTAAATCTTGTCGTTTTGGCAAAATTTATGACGACAAAGATGACTAACTTCTCTTATACCCCTCCCCACAGAATGGCTCAAAAGCCGATTAAAGGACATATAAAAAAGTTTCCACGAGCTGGCGGCTTTTCGAATGAACGGCAAGTAATTAACGGTTGAATCGAATTTTTTCACTTATAACTAGACTAAAGTCATCATTACCAAAGTATGTATTGCTAGTAATAATCCGTTGCATACAATCTCTGGGTACACATTAATATATGAAAGTGGCTAAAATTTGACGTAAAAAAAAGCTTTAGCAAAGTAGGAACACTATACATGAATGCGTGATTTTTATCGTTGCTGGGAGTAATTTCTATCACAGTCTAAGTTTGTAAAACTACAATTTCAGTTACGTTTGGAACTCCTTTCAAATTGTAATTAATTAGTTTGACGGTACAAACTCATTGATGTATTTTCCCTAAAAACAACTAGATGCCAGTGATAGCCTTTTGTT